TATGCCATTCGCGCCAAAGTATTCAAACTAATAATGTTTAAAAGAACTTAAGATAAAACTCTTTAACTAAATCACTAAGCGATACATAAATTTAATGATATTACGCACTCCCAGACTCTCCCCCTTAGAAGGTGTTTTCAGGATCCGTCGGCAAAAACTCCCCCATGCAACCCCGTCATCAATATCCGTGTCTAGAAAAATTTTAATAATGCCGGATTTATGGTAAATTTATTGCCCAATATGTTTAAGTGTATTGACACAAATACAGTATGATTAAACTAGCTGTCGCCCGCGACACTGTCTGCGCGAAATAAAAAAAAAACAGTGAATAGTCTAAGCGTTCTTCCAGACTATGCTCTACATCCATGTTATGATGTTAAATTCCATCCAACCTACATCTTCAAACCAACATCCATCCGTCCATCGATCTAAACATTCGCATTTAAAATATTAGTAAGATTATTTTTTTTTATTTCATACATTTTTTTCGGTTTCCATCTCGTTAAAAATCCAGCCAGTGACAAAAATCGAAATTTTAATCTTAAATAATAAATGTCAATATAAAATAGTGATTTTGTTATTTTTTTAGCGCATTACTTTTTAATATAGCAACATTTTATCAATTTAACAATATGTATAAAAATATAAATATATTTATCAGGCAATATATTTCTACTCTTGTACTCTAACAATCTGGGCCAATTGTATGGACGAAATAAAATAGTATAATAATTTTGGCAAAGCGGGTTCATTTAAGGCGATTGTACATTTCAGACAAGCCTTCGTTTATTGACTTAGCTACTTAGAGTGTATTCAGTTACATTTTACGTTGTATTTACTGATATCTTATTTTGTTTTTATTTTAATATCACAATAAATTGCGATATATTTTATTTTAAGGCGTTATAATATAAATTTTTACAAATGAACACTATTTAATGTAAAGGAAATAAATATATATTTTATTTCATATTTATATGTATATAACATATTTCATATTATATATTGGGATATTAATTTATCTGTTATCCTTTACTAATAATTGTTGAAGCTACAAATACAAAGTACAAAATCTGTATTTCCAAAATCTAAAATGAAATGCGTGGTGACGCTTTGGAAATCTACGAAAAGGTGTAGCCGTAGACCTCTGCGCTACGAGCTACTACGATAAAGGTAAACTATCGAATAGTTAATTTATGTATAACATAAAACACAAGTATTAAAAATCACGGCTTTACTCGCGTATACTTTGATGTACCAACTAGTTTTTAATTAGTTTAATATAACGTCTTACGAAAGTTTTAATAACTTAACAAGTGTCTATGTTAAATCCAATGAAAAATAATTAACTTTATTTTCACTTACAAAATATTTATAATTTACTGTAATAGACTCTATATTAAAATTTATTATTATTAACCGTAAAAATTAAAAGTAAAAAAAACTCACCCTTGTAAAGCATGAAAAATACGTAACAGGAACTTTTTACGCGATCCCGGATTCAAAATGTCGTCCGCGACTGAACCGTGTCGGTCCACAGCCCGCGGCGGTCTGACGCACCCTACCACCCTATGCCACTAAAGGTATGATTATAGTGCTGGGGTAAGCGACAAGCGGTAAGTACAGTTACTCAAATCCCGGTGAAAAGCCCTGTTATTACGGTTAGTTTTGTGTTAGACATGACTGACACACAAGATCAGACAAGACAAATATAGTCCGACAAGGATCTTGTACTACTCAACAGTAGATAGTTCTACTTTTGGCCACTAATCAAATTTGTTGTCGTTAAATGATTTTTAAAATGTTAAAGCGTTTTCCACGGAATTTCACCGATTTGAAGTTTACATTTGCCCAAGATGATATTATTTTGTTACATTTATTTGAAATTTATTTCTCATTTGGTTACAATAAATCGCAGCCGGAAAATTAATGTTAACAATTCTACGCTCAGTTTCATACTCCTTTACGAAAGTTCATATATCAAGTATTTGAGAGACCGTCAATTGGAACATACCGTATAATAGTTTTCAGAAGAAAAGAAAGAATGTTTTTGTTGTGTTTCGACAGTGAAAACTCACGTTAAACAAAATCATTTAAAAAAGTTATAATAAATCTTCAACCTATTAAAATAAACCGTAGTCCTATCAAATTGCAAATTACGAAAGTTTATAATTTCAACATAGCTACGACCACATAAATTAACGCTCGCCCTCAAAATAAAGTAAACAAATTATGCTTAGAGCTGTTATGATTTTATCGTCTTAAACCGGCTAATACCGGTAATTACCTGTTAAGACTTTAACGATGTTTGCCGAAGGAGGGCGCGGGATCAAATTAGGCGAATGGCGGCCATTACTATAAAACATAATGTGCTCCTGATGGAATACACTTGATAGGCGTGATTTATTAACAATCTTACTTATGTTGGAATCAATTTTTGTAGTTTATTTGGTATAAGTTTAACGGAATATTTTAGAGAACAAACTAAAGCAAGAACTAGCTGTCGCCTATGACTCCACCCGCGCGGGAAAAAAAAAAGATAGTAGCCATTCCTCAGAACTACTGAAAATATCTATTAAATTTCATAAAAATCGGTAAAGCTGTTTTGGAGGAGTAAAAAACAATTTTATATATATAATAAGATAATGTGTAACTTGATTTTTTATTAGTTTTTCTATGGATTTTTTTTAAATTTTTTCAAGGTAAGAAAGTAAATTTATTATTTTTATAATACGTCTAGTGTTTTCAACTGAATTATAAACAGTTGTATTCAAAACGTACTTACGAGAAAAAAACACACGCTTATTAAAACACCGAATAAAGAAAATGAGCCGACATTTTCTCGCTTCAGGTTTTTAAATAAAATATATTCTTAAGTCCTCGCAAAAAGTTCGCTGTGAATAGAATCTGATTAAATCCAACGCCGAGAAAACTGCTAAGGAAAGTAAAATACCTAGATTTAAATGTGTACTTTTTAATAATTTTTAAATGCTAACTGAATTATTTAGATCTCTCATTAATTGTAAAATCAATGGAATCAAGTGATCGCCCATTATTCGAAATTTCGCATCACTTTGTGTATAAATGGATTTCAAAGTTATAAAATTCGATAATCATTCATAAATACTATTTTAAATTTTCTCCACAATATTGCTTTGGATAAAAAAAAATAATGTCAAAGCTGTTATCGACCAAATATTCCGTAATTGCTTTCCCTTTCAAAAGCTACAGATGAAAAATTAATGATAGGAAATTGTATATAGGTACTGAGTTGCCCTTTGTACCCTCCAGAGGGCGGAAAAATCATCGGATTCCTTTGTGCATGTAGCCTTGTATTCATCATATATTTAAAAATTGAGTGCATAGAAAGAGTAACGGTTCTTATTTTTTTTTAAGGCACTAGCCACAAGCAAAGACTTCGCTCAGATAGCGAAACTTTCATTTACAAGTACAATATTTGCTAAAATAAATGTTACTGGCCTCTACCTTCTTTATCTTTACAGTCGTAATAGATTTTAAAATAATTTTATAGCGCTAGAATCGTGTTAACGACATTTCGTAAGCAGCAACAAGCTGAGAAATTCATAGATTTTTTTTATACTTCCGCATAGACCTATATTCTGGAATGCTTCTTATTATTTATTATATTATGAAGATTTACCACACAATTCTACGATTCATCGCACTGCTACTTAATTAATACTTTTCAAGTGATTACTCCCGTGTTTCAGAGTTTTTGGCACAGTCCTGGCAGACCCTTAATAGTTTTGTTCTCAGACTTAGTAATGTTATAAATTGGTATTTCATTTGTATAATTTCGTCCATCAAATATCTTTGCATGATCTAGAAAGTATGAAAATTAATTTGCATCTTAAATATTGACTTTTTTTAGTCGTAGGCTGTATTTCTGTTGTAATTTATGTTTTGTAATACTCTTTGTACAGTTCCATGATGTTCTGAGATGGCGGGAAATAAATAAACATTCAAAAATAGAACGCTTCTGTTTGGAAGTACAAACATTTACGTCAATGTGACTTCATCGTTCACTGGAAATTATCAGTTTCATATTTTTATGTTTAATTTTATATTATATTTGTAATTTTTCGTGCAATGAACAGTACTGAATTAATAACTACATGGGATTATATGTATATTAGGTCAAGAAACGCACTTATACGTTCATTAGATTTACCAAACGGTTGGTTGTATCAAGTGGCCTCACTATTCAGTAAGTATTTCTTGTATCCACTAATTTTAAAACATATTCTTAATTTATATTATTTAAATAGGAAATCTATATAACACCATAACCATAAACTAGGTTGTAACATTTTAATATTTTTGAATATGTCATAAATACCGCGACAGCCAAGAAGTTATATTGCTCGCACCTCGTCGTAAGTGGGCGTTGCATTCATAATCCTGGAATCTGGATTCGTGCGTCACTACTATTCCAGATTATAACTTCTCGTCATACCTTGTATAGTATATGCAAGAACAAAGTATTTTAGTATTCATTTAATAAAAAGTATATTTGCAGAAATTTTCAAAACACAAGAGTAACCGATTTGGAAATGCCTTATAGTCCATTAATTTCAAATCAAGGAACGACGAGTGAAAATGAAGAGCCTACAAGTAATATGTGCATACCATTTGCATTGTGTTCTAGACATTTTTATAAGTGCTATTTTCAGTATAGGCGGCGCAGCGTTTCCTCTCCAAGTACTTAAGATAGATTTAGAAATTTAAATATCCTTTTTCTCCATAATTTAGGTAACTCATATGTTTGCAATGGTCTTAAAGCATCTATTCGTAATTTTTTTTTATTATAACTGGCATGTATTTGAGAGTTATTAATTCTTATTCTTAGGTAATGAATAGAAGATTGTAATTTTTATCGAAAACGTTTTATTTATTAGTAAGAAACTGGAATAAAGTGAATAGCTTTTATTATCTGTATCTGTCAAAGTACAATGACAGTTCGAGTTGTTTGACATTTGACATCGTATTTAAACTTCAAAGCAAAGAAAAGATCAACTTTAAATCAAACTTCAATTCAAAGCAAAAAATGGCTTCTATTGGAATTGGAATGTGCGAAACGCCCGGTTGCAAATCAATCGCTCAATTACAGTGTCCCACATGCATAAAACTCGGCATACAGGGATCGTTCTTTTGCAATCAAGACTGTTTCAAAAAATCATGGAAATCTCACAAAATTATCCACTCATTGGCGAGTAAGTTTTTAGGTTAGGTTGCGAAGTGACTTTTTCTCTTTTAGTATGAATATATTTTGTTTTAGAGGGTGAAAGTACTGATGGTTCGACCGTTGAGTATAATCCGTGGCCGTCCTTTAATTTTACGGGGAAATTGAGGCCTTTTCCGGCCGGTCCAAAGAGAACCGTGCCTCCACATATAGGTCGTCCAGATTACGCCGACCACCCAACTGGTTTCCCGGCTTCAGAGAACGCCGCAAAGGGTTCTGGACAGATTAAAGTTTTGGACGATGAAGAAATTGAAGGAATGCGTGTCGCTTGTCGACTTGGCCGTGAAGTACTTGACGAAGCCGCAAAGTTAGTAAAACTTAATAAAGGATAAAAATATTATATTTCATTTGTAAACAAAGTTCTAAATGTTTTAAAATGTTGTATATTGTTTTCAATGGAAGTGCAAAATTTGTACATGTTTGTGAAGACCAATGAAAAATTAATTAGTAAATCAAAGGCAAAAGCATAAACAAATGAAGCATTTAGAAGCTTAACAGCCTTACCCAGGTTTTATATGAATACTAATGGTAAAAAATTGACTCAATAATTCTGATATTTTAGAGCCTGTGATGTTGGTGTGACAACTGATGAAATAGACAGAGTAGTCCATGAGGCTTGTATTGAACGTGAATGTTATCCCAGTCCACTGAACTATCATAACTTCCCAAACAGCTGTTGTACTTCAGTGAACGAAGTTATCTGTCATGGAATACCAGATTTACGTCCACTGCAGGTATATTTTATGTAGAATATCATTTAAAAATTTAATGTTAATAATTATTATGTAGTCAAAATTTCACTCTTAGGTAAATTTTTACCTTAGTAATGTTTCCTCTTGACATATATTGTTCATCAAGGCAGAAAAACTAAATTAGTAGTCTATGTGTTGTTCCAGACTATGTTCTACATTTTCGCTAAATTTCATTAAGATCTGTTAGGCTATCCACGAGATACCTTGTTACAAACCTCCACCTATTCACCCAAACATTCAAATTTATAATAGTAAGATGTGTGAATATGAGATAATTTTTTATTAATTTTGATTATAATTACAAAATTCTTATGTTATTCCAGGATGGTGATATATGCAATGTAGATGTAACTGTCTACCACAGAGGATTTCATGGTGACTTAAATGAGACATTTTTTGTTGGCACCATACTAGAGTCAAGTCGGAAACTTGTTCAGGTCACATATGAGTGTCTGCAGAAAGCAATTGATATTGTGAAACCCGGTGAAAAGTACAGGGAGATTGGAAATGTTATACAGAAGCATGCACAAGCGAATGGATTGAGTGTTGTACGTTCTTATTGCGGTCATGGTATACATAGATTGTTTCATACTGCACCGAATGTTCCACATTATGCCAGTGAGTATTTTAATTTAAAATATTGTAGATTTTTTTTAAGAACTTCATTTTTTTTTTAATTATAAGTAGATGGGTTGTGCTATTTACTGCCAGTGAATATTTTGATTTAAAACTTTGTACATAAAAAATATTTGAACAATTGTTTGCTTTGGTTTTAGTTATAAACTCACAGCATCTTAACATAATATGATGAGATTTAAAATGGTCTTTATTGTACCATAAGTATGCAGACACATAATATGTTGTTACAAGGCTTATTGTTATAATTTTGTACTTGATAGTGTTTAAACAGTGAGCGGTGTTAAAAATGATTGGTGTTAAATATATTAATCAAAAAATAGTTACAAGAAGAATAAGATGCTTAAAATTTAATACCAATATTAAAAATAATGGTGATTTTTCAAATGTTTACCTTATGGATAATTCCAGAGAATAAGGCAGTGGGTGTAATGAAGCCAGGCCATTGTTTCACCATTGAGCCCATGATAAACGAGGGTGGTTGGCGTGATGAACAGTGGCCGGACCACTGGACTGCGGTCACAGCTGACGGATCTTGGTCTGCTCAGGTAAGGTTACTTTTTTAAAGGTAAAAAAATCTATAGCTCATGTAATTGTCAGAATACCTATGAAAAATATGCTCATAGGTAAATACTAGATGTGGCCCATGACTCCGTCCCTGCGGAATTAAAAAAAAAACTTAATAAGTAGGCTATGTGTTCTTTCAAGATATGTTCTACATCTATGATATTGCAGGTAGATTATTAATTGAATTAATGTGTTAGCTGCCTTCTAAGTTGCATATTACTTTGTTGAAACATGTATTTAATTGTGTAATTTCAGTTTGAGCAGACTCTACTAGTGACGGAGACAGGATGTGACATCCTGACGAAGCGGGAAGGTGGAAGGCCCTGGTTCATGGACCAACTGGAGAAACTCAACACCAAATCCTAGTCCATGCAGTAACTACTGCCCGTCCATTGAGGTAAAATATAAGGCAATATAAAAATAGATTTTTAAAAGAACTTACATTTGGACTATGTATTTATCTAGATAAAAACTTTACGTCTGTCTACCTTAACACAAGTGTTGTGTAGTACAGTAATAATATTGAGTATGAAAAAAATACATCTTTGTGTTCTATTTCAAACTTTTTTTTAAACTATATTATTAAAATTTAATTGTCTTATTTCCTCAGGTAATCTCTTAAAATTTCGTGGCTGTGGTAAAAGAAAAAGCTAAATTAATGAAATAATAAATCCTTATATTCAATGCAAATGTAGATAGAAATGTGATAATAAAATCATGACTAGAAAAGTACATTAATATATTTAAATAAAATCTCAATGTGCGGGCAATATTTAATGTTTAAATAAAGTTATTTTTATCTTAACGCTAGATGAGTTTAATTGATTTTCGAATAGATAAATATGTGTATTGTTGAAGAAAAGCTAGTGCATAAATTCTTTAAATAACAGACTTGCTATATTTTTATATGTATTTTGACAGTGAAATTGTTTCTGTATATTTCTAGTTTTCAAACCAATTGTTTATCAATTGATATTAAGATCAAAATAGACTTACTGTAGCTAGATACTTGTATACATTGTACACATTGTATACATCGTAATGACACTTGTATTCATACAGCGGTAGAGGCCGCTTTAACATCTTCGCACGAATCGGCCCGGCTCGCCCGGTGAAATACCACGACCACACAGAAGACAGGCGTGAAGTGGAAGCGATTCCGCGTTTCGTCTGATGAGTGTGTGTACCGGAGGCCTAATTCAGTCCTCTTTCCCTTCCCATCCTTTTCTTTATAAGGAAAGAATGGAAAGTGGAAGTGGACTTTCCGGATGAGAGGATGCATGGATAGGGAAGATATTTTCTTTCTGTACATCCTCTCCTCCGTCGATTAAAGGTAGGCAACGCATATGCAATTGCGAAGTGACCGTTGCCCATAGACATATGGGCAACGGTCACTTCGCTATTTCAGCGATTTCAGGTGGCCGCTCGCTCGTTTGCCACCTTTTGATGTAAAAAAAAACTTATTGCCATCCTTTTCATTTAATACATCAAAACAGACACTACAATATGTATACAAGTGTCACTAAAGATGTATACAATGTATACAAGTGTGCACACAGATTGAACAATACATATTGGTCAAAATATAATAATTGAACACAGTTAACATAATTTAGTTAGGATTGTTATATTTATTCAAAGATTGGTTGAACTTTTCATTACCATATTAGCAATATTGTTGTCTCTTTTTTTTATAAAGATTGAAAGGGATGACAATATATTTCTATTCCTACAGTTTTCCTAGTCCAAATATAAATTGTCGAAGTTAACAATTGGTTAGCGACATTGTTTGTTTATTTTGTCATGTTTATGGCCAGTTTACACTATTCCAGTCCAGATTGAAATCAGTGCTGGATTACAACTGTATATTACAAAAAACCGCATTTGTTAAATCTTTAAAACTCATAACAAAAACAATTTACAATTGTTTTAAAATCTTACTAATGCGAATATAGGTAATTCTTTCTCTAAAATGACATTGTATAGAGAGATATTACTGTCCTTCTCTTTTCAAAGCGAATGTGAAGGATAATATGATTTTATGCACCAGCTTCGACAGTCGAAACCCGCTGTTACTGTTTCAAATAAAAACCTGATTAACATTATGCCAGTACAGTAGGACGGTAGTGCCAATCAGCGCTTGCATACAACTTAAATAATTTCAACTCTAATTGCTGCCAGTAGCTACAACGTTCTATACCAGGCCAGTGCTACTGTATTACTGTACTGGCATAATGTAAACTAGACTTAATGTTGCACTGTCCGAATAATATAAAAAGCAAATAGGAATGTTTTTTGAATGTTTTATAAAAGTTAACTAATTGAGTTTTGATAGTGACTTTGTATAATAAAAGGTTTATGAATATTTTTAATGTCTTTTATTTTATTATCTTAAACTTAAAATAAATACCAATGATATAAATGCAATAAATATTAAGATATAAATATATTTACAATTAAATATATCCAGGACAGGATATAAGCATTTTCAAATAACTTTAAAACTTAGTTCTTGAAAAAGTAAAGAATTTAAGTGTTACATAAAGAAAAAAAATATTTAAAATGCCTTTTGAAACAACATAGTAATTTTATATTTAAGAATAACTAACTACATACACTTTTTAATTTTTTTTTTCTATTCCTGTTAACTATTTATAATTAGTTACTCAAAAGTAAATTAAAGCTTGTTGCCTCTGCAATATTATCTTTCTAACCTTACAATTAAAGAACAGAATTATTATCAAATTAAAATGGAAATGTAGATTTTCATTGCCGTGACATTTGTATTTTGTCAGTATTAAAAGTGTTACTCCAGTAGAAACCTACTGTTAGAGAACTACATTTGTATGACTTGAATTATCAAAAGCGCACAAAATAACATCTTATACTTAAATTTAATCGTTGGATTATTAATTATACTTAATTATTCTTCATATTCTTCAAACAGAGGTATGTAGTCGTCACTTCTAGAGCGTAATTTCAAACCAAACTGTGATATTTGATTTGCATCTGGTATTGTCTTTTCAAATGGTTTTGCAGTTACTGTGTTCCAACTGTTTATTGCATCTTGTTTACGTGTTACTGCTTCTTTAACGTGTTTTAAATTCGATAATTTTGATAGCACTATCTCCTTCTGTAAACAAATATTATAACATCGTTATTTCTTTAGTATTTGAAAGTCGTTTATTTTTCACTTGTGTAGATCTGTCGAAAATAACCCTATTGTAAATTCTTTTTTTTTACGTTTTATAAGATAGCGCTTGACCACTATCCCACCTGGTGAAGTGGAGATTTGGTCGAAAGATGGTACGCGCTAGCTAAGTAAGTGCCTATTCACTCTACTTTTGAAGGTCCCAACATCATTTTTGGACGGAAAAACAGAGGCTGGCAACTTGCTCCAATCCCTTGCGGTACGCACAAGGAACGATGCTTCGAATCGCTTCGTTCGAACGCGCGGTACCTCTACCACAAAAGGATGGATTCCCGCCGTATACCTGAACGTCCGGTGGTAAAATGGTGATGGGGGAATTATTCGGAGATGTATATTTAAATTGCTATTAAATGCAGGGCCGGTCAACCCCAGACATGGCAAAAAGGCGCCGTAGGTATCTCGCCGAGAGCTCTAGTAGAGCTAAAACCGTTACTGATTAAACTTTCTTACCTGAATTGGATTTTCAGAATAACTCGCATAAATTCTCAAAACTGGCTCACCAGTTTTATCATCAAATGTAAGTTTAGTTTTTGGTGGTATTTTAGCTTTTACTACATTCAACTTTTGTGGAGTGTCGACTTTATTTTCTGGTGCAAATAACCTTAACGGTGGTCGCCATGATACATTCGCTTTACCCTTATTAAAGTCTTTATCTTCACTTATCATTGCTTGTACTAATTGTCCAGCGAATACGTTACCGTTTTTATTATTTTTGCTCGAATCTTCTTGAGAATGTAATAATCTATAAGTAAAGTTTACCGTTTCAGCTTTTTCAAATGGTGCTCCAGCAAATTTTATATCATTAGATGAATGTTTTATTTCATTGCTAGTGTCATTTTTTTCCTCTTTATCTAAATTTGGTTCTTTTATAGCTTCTTGAGTTGTATCCGATTTAATTGTTGTTGACATATCTATATGCGCAAGTTCGTTAACTTTTTCTACTTGTGCTAACGCGGCAGCTGCTCTGACATCGTTTATAGCTGAATAAAATCCTTTAGCTATGATATTACCAACGCTTTGAGCAACTTGAGCGTAGTATATAGGTGTAGTACTTTGTTCTGTTGTATTTTCTATAAGTTTAGAAGTTGTAGTTGGAAGATCTGTTTCAGATGTCTCTGTTATATTTTGTTGATCGTTTGGTGTTGCGTTAGTAACATTTTCTATCACGTTGCTAAGAGTAAATGGTTGTGGAACTAAAGATAGAAGAGACGCTTCTTGAGTTTCTCTTTGTACAATGTTCCTGTGTGGTTCATCTTTAAAAGATGGTGTTTGTGTTATGACTTCGTTTTCCAATAAATATAGTTGTGATTGTGTCGTTTGTTGAATTTGAGGTTGTATATCAGCGGTGTAAGGTATAAATTCGACTGCAGGGAATTGTTGTAATAATTGACTTTGTAATTTTTGTAAAAAGTTTGGATCGTTTTGGTAAAGCGCGCTCGGTGGAATGATTATTCCTTCAGCTGCTGTTTGTAGAAGATCTTGATGGCTGGATAAATCTGTGAGACCCTGAAATACGGTGTTTTAATTTATCACACATCCTTTCATATGTTAACTTTTTATGTTTATAGTTTGATTTAAAAGAAGATAAAATTAGTTTATTACCTGAATAGAAAATTGTTGTGGATTTTGGGGTAGAGGTAGAGATGGATGTCCGTATTGCGCTGACAATGGAAAAGAAGCTCCATTCTGCACAAACTGTTGAAGTTCTGGTGTTTTTAAAGACTGCAAGATAATGTGTATTTTAATCTAGATTGCTGTCTTGGATCCTTAATTAGCAATCTTCCCTTATGTCTAATTTGATATTAATCTTTTTACTTACTGACTGTTTAGAAAATCCTGTAGGAGCTTCGATTTTTGCCGGTATTTGATACACCTGGGGCTCCGAATATTTTTCAGTTACTTCGTATGTTGTTTTAACCTGTAGGAAACGAAATTATTTATACGTTAAACACACAGGAAAGGTATTTTTCTTCTTATGTGTCCACTCCTCCGTCTAATCCACTTCCCCTTAGGTAAGAGCACAAAAATTGAACTCCGGCACGCGAAATCATCAGACGAATCGCAGAATTGCTTCCATTTCATGCCTGTCTTCTGTGGTATTGGACCGGGTGAGTGGCCAATTCGTTTAATTAATGTTACTATGTACTATCACTATTAAGCTTTTGAATCAATCAACATAACCCTAGGCTTTCAATAATTCTGAGTTAATCTACTACTCACTGGTTCAGTGGCAGGCTCAGTGTTCGTGGTGTCAGTCTCAGCAACGACGATGGGCTTCTCTGACAGGCTGAGGTTGGGTGCTGGTATCGTGTGTATTGCACCTGCTGTCATACATGACTGACAAAAATTGCACTGTCCACGACAATCAATGTCATTAGCATAGTCGTTAAATGATTAAATTATTTTTCCAACTATATTCTTACTTATATATTTTTAAATAGTAACAAAGTTAGTTATCGTGACGTAATAGAAATGAGTCAAATGTGTAAATTTTAGATTCAATCTATTTTTTTATTTTAATTATCGTTTTCTTTTTTTACATTATTATAATGACTATGCTATTGACTGAGTCATTGCCGTGGACATAACATTTGTGCAATCTGTGCGCGAAAAAGTTGTAAAGAACGCCAAAGATATCCATAGATTGCTAAGCTACACTTTAGTGCATATGAGAATGATTTCAATACTGAGTAATAGTTGACGTTGGCGAAATCATCGAAATTAAACGATGAGGACCACTAGTAATTAAAAGAAGAAGAAGAAGAGTAATAGTTGTGATTTGATTAAATATTATATTGGTAATGATGTCCTCCACGCCAGGCTGAGAGAGTTTGTTACAACATATTGGAAACCAAAAATACCAAACATACCCATCTTTCTCACCTGCTAATTGATGTAATTCTATTCTTATTTTTAAACTAAATTTTTAAGGCAGCATTTGGAAGGCTGACTTATAATTCATATGGTCATAGAAATACTGCAGTATAGAGTAGTGCAGTGCTGATATAATCAACCTGTATCACCGTGCGTGTGCAGCAGTGGTGGAGCGGACGCGGCCCGCAGCAGCTCGTAGTCTGCACCCGGCAGAGGCAACCGGCCTGTCTTCCATGGACCTCCAGGGATAGCGTTACGGAAATGCATGTGGGGCTTTACAGCATACCTGAGCAAACAAACAAGCTATTCATTTGTTATTAAGTCACCATTATAGGGATTAGCAATAATTAAATGAGAAGAATCCCTTGTCCCACAACCACTTATGGCCGAACTGACCCTCAGGTCATATGAGCAGAATCATGGGGATACGTGTGCGGTTTGGATTTTATTCGACGCAGGCACCTTTCTAAAATCCCTACAAGTTATTTCATCTGTTCTTTGAATACATTCGCCATTAGGAATCCATTTCAGCGTCTACCCCAGCCTACATCTCCTTCGTTGCCAACGATGCGGGAACTCACGTAGCCTAGTTCGCCTCACTGCCGTTTTATACGTACCTATGTGGCATTGGTGCCCTATACACCACATACGGAGGTCTGTACGCGGGTACCACGCGTTGATGCCACGGTCGCTGCAGGACGACGCCAGGCCGGAACACAGCGGGCGAGCGCGGGCGCACCATCGCCATGCGACTGATGTACGCCGCTTGTGATAGCGAACATATTGTCATATACACTAGATGTATCTGGAAACAAAGAATAAGTCATGAATCATAATATACTACTTATTAATTATGATATTAATATGCCCGTAGTATCACATCTTCTTTAAAATCGATTTTTAAAATAATTTTATTTTTAGTCGGACAAAGTCCTGGCAGGATGTATTTGAAGAAGATAACCTCAAAAAATATTGAATACATTAAAGACAAATGTTTAACCCGAGTTCAAAGGTTTTAGTAAATTGGATAAAAACCAACAGAGCCTCAGAAAGAAGTTTGTTGCACTTGAAATATAAAGTATTTGTTTTAAACTTAATTACAATTTGTCTTTTCATTTATAAATTAATGTTTAATGAGTCAAGTGCGGTGACAGACAGGTGGTCTATATAAGGGAGGTGTTTGAAACACGGCGCATGACCGGTTTGCTTCCGAAGAGAGTTTGCCGGAGATATTCTCGCAGGCATTCTGCACATATCACTGCTTAGAATTCTATATAGGTGACTTTCTTACTTTTTTGTTTGGAAGTTTCAAAGTCGAAGTTATAAAGGTGCTGTCACACTAACGTAGACGTAGCAATTTTTAGGACAATATAATTATTAACTTAATATAGCTGCCAGTCTCTGCAACAAGGACAGTGTATTCAAGAGGGAGAAAAAAACCAAATACAGATTTAGATATAAAATAAGTCGCACTATTATATTAGTTGTCTATGATTCTTAAAAAACTAAACGGTATTTTTAACAAAACTGATGAAAACAGTCAATCTTCTACATTGTTACTTTCGTGACACATTATAATATAAAGGGGCCCCGATGGGCTCGAAACTAGTCGGTGCCGCCACCAGACGAATATACGTGAGTGTTTAGTAGTTTTTATATAAGTTTAATATTGTAAGCTGTAAGGCATTAAGGTTAAGAACTTATAAAAATTGCAAAACTTTAATCTCCTTAGATGCATATCAAAATTACACGCAATATGAAATGTAATAAATCAAATAGAGACATGAAGATGCTACGACAGAGTGAACATTTCACTTTTCTAACGCTAATTAATCGTATCATGCGATTAGTCGGTGTGAACGGCCAGAGACATACCACGGGTGGCCGCGCGTGAAACCGACTTGTCGGACGAATTTCTCGCGTCGATGACTTTATTGTACAGGTAATCTTAAAATTAACTAACAATAATGCTTTAATGTAATTCTGTTCTTGATCTTTAATGAATAAACCAGCACTTGACCACCACCCCGCTTGATATTAAATCATGTGGTCGAAAGGGTTTAGGCGCTACTTTACTATATACCTATTTTCTCTACTTCTCTCTATCATTATAATTTAACTAAGAAAAGCTATCTTTAGATGTTCCCCGAACGACACCGAAAAATGGGTCAATGCAAAAATTTCGCCCGAAGCGCGCAAGCTAAACAAGCCCTGTTTCGCAGACTTTTTATTGGTTAGGTAACCTTAGGAGATTCAAACTAAGCTTATTGGAAACCATTATCTTTGTGTAGTATTCCAATCTGGTAACGCTTGCGGCCTGCAATATCTAACGGTCCTCTGCACTCCAATTACTACGGCGACGAAGCAAATCGCTTACAATACGTTAAAATAACAGTTCTATATCATAGTGCCCATAATATTTCTTTCTCTTTATGTTTACTTATATCATTAAGAGATTTAATCGTTCCATGAATTTACAAAGTGTTTTTGACGTTGATTAATTAAGAGCAGAATAGGCTCTCGTTTAGTTGTTTGATTTGGAATAGTCCCTGACTATTTATTTTGCTTTTTTGTCTAATCATTATCTTAATTGATTACTCTTTATAAGTGCGATTAAATCTAAGACGTTCCTTAACAACGCTTTGTAATCTTACGAATCTTACTAATATTATAAATGTGAATGTTTGTATGTATGGATGGATGTTTGTTTAAACGTATCTTCAGAACGGCTGTATCTCTCTGAAGTTTGGTACAGATGTAGAAAATAGCCTCTAAGAACACATAGGCTACTAATTATGTTTTTATAATTCCGCGCGGAATTTATCGCGGGCGACAACAAGTTCTGATATAAAATCTAAGATGTTCTTTAACAAGTCTTTATAATTTTACAATATATTGTTTCGTCATTTTTCTTCCAACTTTTGAATCACCAAATCGTTTCCATGCCATAGAAGTATACTTTTCACTATATGATTTACATATATAGGTATAGTGTAGATGTATCTTATATATAAAATTCTCGTGTCACAATTTTCGTTCCCATACTCCTCCGTAACGGCTTGACCGATTCTCATGAAATTTTGTGAGCATATTAAGTATGTCTGAGAATCGGCCAACATCTATTTTTAATCCCGCGAGGACGGAGTCACGGGCTACAGCTATTATTTTATAATATTATTTAATACTTGTTACAGTTACTGTCAGGTAACATGTTTATAATTGTCTAACCGCTATCGAACGCAATGCTCTATTAGCTAAGTGCGTCACAACGGTTGTAGACGCGATGTGAAATCTTAACGGACCGGTCTCGGACTCTCTGTACTCATATACATCATCCACATAAATTTTAACAGAAAAGGATGTTACAGACTGGAAAGTACATTCAAATCGCTGATATCCTTTGCTAACAATGGTAGCATAAGACTTATTTATATTTACGACTTAGGATAGGTCTTGTCTAGTCAGGAATTATACGGATTCTTTTTTACTTGCGCAACTAGCCGTGCGACTCTATAACTTCGGCTTACTCTTTGCCGTATGAGGTTTACTCTTTGACCGATTTTCACTGGGGCGACAGCGTCTCTTATACTGGTAACGTCCATCGTCCACGGCTAAAGTTGTGTAAATGATCATCGTGTGGAATTAAAGTCTAAATTGCTTTGACTGTTTTTCTACAGGCGATATAAACATCATAAAAATACCGATGAACACTATTTTGTGCCCAAGTATTAATTTTATTTTATTTGCTATTCATCGAACTATGTCATAATATGTGTATTTACATACATTGTATTTATTATTGTAATATTGCATTACACGCATCAAGCGTGAAATTATCGTATGCAAAGAAATGCGCACGCGTCACGCGATACGTTAATGACACAAAGTTTGCAGTTAAAGAGGGTTTAATTTGTCATTATATTACACTAAGTGTTCATGGGTAATTTAAGAACTGTTAAACATTGGATATTCTGTACTATTGTAATCTAACATGGGTATCAAAAAGTATATGGAAAGCGGTTTTTAGAGACGTAGTCAATCTGCCAAATAACAATTTTGCTATTTTTTTCTTCCAATTTGTTTCTTTAATTTTTACGTATTAGACAAAAAACGATAGTGAATTTTTAACGATAGTCAAAATTACATATATACGTTAATTACTTCATGTTACAAGAAAGAGAAATAAAAATCGCAAATCTCTTTTTAACGGCAAAAAAAGATATTTTTAACATAAACGATGTTTGTCAAACACCACCAAGTGATAATTACCATTTTTTTTGTTTTGTACTTTTCATTTAAATATCACTTTAACCAATTTCTTAATTAAATTAAGCTTAATTTAAAATGCTTTGTACTAACCTTCATTATTGAAGTAACGGCTAACCTTAAAAAAATAAAAGTCCAAACACAAATCACTAATATAATCTATGGAAATGTCATTGTCACAACAGATTATGCAAAATTTTCTCTTCCCTTTTTTTTACACGAAAATACAAAATTAAAAAAAAAGATTTGAAAATCGAATTGTTTTCACTCGATTATTCCGTTTACAACATCGATGTTGAACGGTGGCTGACTCGATGTGTGGGATGAAATAGGTCACTGTCCGCATTTATAACCATCCCCACTTGATATTTTTGCTTAGAATATATAGAGATATAAATTTTTCCATGCATATATTTTTCGATAACCAAGAAAGGCAATGTAATTTTATTTATATATATTATTTATACTTACCAAAAAAACTATTACTTGTTTTAGTATTATACAAATTTAAAACAAATAATGTGTATTAAAATATCAACAAGCTTGGATTCGAATCTACTTTTTTCTTTATTTCGTGAAACGTGACAAAAACTTGAAAAGTTATCTTAGACGTTCTTTAAAAATAGATACTAGTCGCAAAATTAGTTTGGAGTAGACAGAATTGCATTTCTTAAACTCTAGCATTTTCCCGCGACGTCGTCTCCGCGGAACTAAGAAAAATCTGGTAATAAATATAGATTATGTCACCCGGGGATAGTATAGCTTCTCAGCAGTGAAATATTTTTATCAAATCGGTTCAGTTTCGCAGCCTATTGAATACAGATAAACAATAAAATCTTTCCTCTATATAATAAGTTCCAATTAAGTTGTGACTTCGCAAATTATCAAAGCTACCCTTTATTTATATTGAAATTTTTGCATTTTATACCATTTACGCATTTGCAAATTTAAAACAGTAAATAAATAGCAAAGGTAGCAATTTATACCAACAAAACATAAATCAGATCACAGTTTTCAAACAGTTAGTTTATGGAATATTTTATTACAGCTTATGGTAGAAAGCAAGTTAAATGAGCCCCGACAAATAGGAAGTTAGTCAACGAACTAGTCTCACTTTACATCCGCTTCCGATTTAAAGAATTATTTCTACTTTATGTATACTATAATTAATATTTTCCCATCTTTAAATTAAGTGATGCGTGATATCATACGTCTTACTGATATTATAAAGGCTAATGCTTAGATGGATGGATATTTGTTTGAAGGTATCTCCGGAACGCCTTATCGGATCTTGATGAAGTTTGACAGCGATGTAGAACATAGCCTGGAAGAACACATAGGCTACATATTAAGTTTTTTTTAATTCTGCGCATATGGTGTCGCGAGCGACATCTAGTGACTTTATAGCTTCATAATCTACTAGGCATAAGATAGAACATTCTGAGTTTCAAATTTCCAAACTTCTTTTTTTTAAAACAAAATAGTATATGTTTTATACACAGATTTTGGTCTCCGAAACCAAAGGGTGTTTTTTAAGAATGACGCCTAGCAAAATATATCTGCAATGTTTCATTTAAAAAATTAAGCATCTATTTAAAGCCCAGGTAAACACTCTTGTTTTAATATATTTTTCCAAATATACTTGGGAGCATTATTAAAAATATATTACGTTATGAAAGAAAAACAAAAGCAATAAATAATTGTCTCTTATTCAAGTCCTTTATTCAGTTCGAAATTTAATTAAACTTTTAACCTGAATTATTTTGCATTTATTCTTTTTTCTTCCTTCTTAACAATATGGCGATTGACATCTGAGAAATATTTGATAAATACTGATTAAAATCGTCACTAAATTGTTCATAGTATAGATATTATAAGCAAAATACGATGCGCCCCCGGGTGGGCTCGAACCACCAACCTTTCGGTTAACAGCCGAACGCGCTAGCCAATTGCGCCACGGAGGCTATATGTAGATAGTCAGAATTAATATAGACGATATATGCTTGTATATAAGTAGCCAATATAAAGTATATTATATAAATTAGAATGAGCGTCGACTGCAGATTGTAAGTGAGAGCAATAGGTCACCGTTGACTACGTTTTTCTTTGGCTTAAAATTAATATGGAGATATTTTTACCTTCTTGCATGATTTTGATTTACAGCTAAATTCTTCATAACCCATCGTTATAATTTGAATTAATACTTTGTTTTGATTACGGATGTCATTGTATTAGCCGCCATGTGAAAAAAAACAGGTGACTTTTTACTATAATACAAACAAAGGTTTTATATGCTTTTGTTATAAATTCTCACAGATAGAGACAGGAATCTTTGGAGATCAACAGATCTACACGAGGTTTAGGCTAACCGCCACCAGCGCACGGCCACCCCATACCCAGTGATGCTGTAAATGGCCCTTTAAGGCAAAAAAAACTGATGGTCTAGTGAGAAATACTTATACTGAGAAAGGCATTAGGAGCTTATGTCCAGGTGCTGTTGACTGACACAGGCTGATGAATATTATGATGTTTTTAAAACATATCTACCTTTTAATATAATCTCAAGGCATTCTCCCTTTTTCAATCTTGCTAAAATAAAATCACATTTAAATCCCTCATATTTTATTTACAAAAACGTAATATTTTCTTAATTGATAACAAATTATAAATAATTTTATTGAGCACTTTATTTACAATCCGCTCTTTTATTCTTTTAAAATTAAATATTAAATATTAACAGTCCGTATAATCGTTAATTAAAATTTTGCATTTTATTTAAATTTATTTTGTTCCACATTTGAACTTTGTTTATTAAATTAATTAAAACAGATAAAAATATTTTATTTAATCACTTAAATAAATATTTTTATAATCCTATTTAATTTTTATAAAATTAATCAAATGCCTAAAATATTTTCGATATCACTCACAATTTCTTTCATAATAATTAATTGTTAAAAAAATGTACAAGCTTTTTTACTTAATTTATCTTAAAACTATAATTACATTTTTAATTCTTTACCCACAAATAGGGCAACATTGTCAACCATAATTTATTAAAAAAATTCGAAACATAAAATTTCTTATTTTAAACTCTATTTAGTGGAGATAATGCTGCAATTGCTCTGCACCGAGCGACGCGCCGTAATATGGTATCTCTGTAAAATACAAAAATAATAATTGATTAAATAATTTTTATCATTTAAAATAACAAATAATTTACATTTTAATTAAATATCAAAGCATAAAAATAAGTATTATTGCATACATTTTCTTTAGATCTTTACAAGTTTTTTTTACGAATTTTAATGTTTTTTGAACGATGTTAAATATACATGAAATATAAATATTTACAGAAATAATTATGTTTTTATAAACCAATCGGAGTAACAATAGTTTTAATTTTTTTTGTGTTAAAGGCGACAGAGTGTGTGCTTTTCAGAAATGTTTAAAAACCCTAACCTAGTGAAATTATGATTATGTTTGAAGAATGGGCAAATAAAGGCTTTAATTTACATTACACTTGTAAATGTTATTGTCACAATGTGTAAGAATTTTTACATAGTAAATGTAATAAAGTAATATTAAGATTAATATACAAAAGCTGTAAGTGAAAGAAGATATCAATTTACCGTGGGTTTCTAAGACTAAAATCCCCGTTTAAATCATATTGTTATCTCTGTTTTGTCAAATATAAGACAGAGATGACGATATGCTTTATACAGAGATATGTTAATGATTCAAGGCAGGTATTAGTCTGTACATTTTCAGTCATTTTGTCGTGTTATGTACCATGTAAATTGTAGAAGTTTGAAGATTTCATCTACAGAAGTATGTTGAAATAGGTCCCCAAAGGTTACGAATATATTTGTCAAAGAAAGGTCTTAAAGAAAAGAATCCTATGACAAAGTGGTATTGCAAAATTTGCTACGTTTTTTGGATTGATCAATTAGTAATCGTCTCTTTAATTATTTGTATTCTATTACTACATTTTACTTCTACAATATACATGGTGTTTGTCAGTCAACATACCTAATATAAATAGTCAGTCGTGTTCAAACTTGAACGATCTTGTTACCACGAAGGATGAATTTGATGTCTTTTCTTCTATTAGCGTTGCTGTCAGTCGTTGTTCTTGTCGTGGTCGTTGTCGTCGAAGTCGTCAATTCTAAGTCAGGTAGGAGCTCGGCAGGGAGGACACCGACGTCATTGTCGGAGGTGGGAGTCGGAAGGAATGCTTTACCAGACTTCATTAGTATCTCCTCAAATCTAGCTTGATTAAATTGAGGAGCATCGTCTAAAGATCTTTGGACATTATTGTTCATGTAAGCGGCTAATTTACTCAAGTTACGATTGATCTTTTGGATTTTAGCTGGTGTTAAACCTTCCTTCTTATGTAAAGTTGGTACTATAGAATGTTTGGAAGTGGCATGAGCGAAAGTCGGTTGGGGATTTCTGGGGTCATAATCTAGGTACGCATCGGTGGATGCAGGTTCACCGTAGGAGTCCACAGCGCCCCATGACATCGGTTTAAAATCTGGTAAAGGAGGAGGTATGGCTAGATGTTGTGGTTCTGATGATTGTACTGAAGGGGAAGCGGATGAGAACACGTCTTTAACAGCTGTGTAAACTGTATTAAGTATTGAAGGAGGTGGTTCTAAGGGTGTGTGACCGACTGTTGAATGTTGATTTGTGTCCCCATGCGCCGTGGCACCCAGTGGCGCTAGTATCACGACGCCCGCGTGCACTCCGGCAAGCTTCCCTCGTCCTGTCTCAAAACAACTGCAATCTTAGTCCGTTACGTCATTAGTTACGTCACTAGTTCAATTGATGTCTCGAATAGCCGAGTGTTGCACCTTTCTAATCCGCTTTAGAACATCGCTCTAATGATTCAGTGTCTAGATCACTTTGACCAGAATATAGGAAGTGTATGTAACATATTGAAGATTGCGTAACGCATTATAAATTAATATAACGATTATATTTTGATAGATTAATGTTTATTTTGGTACACAACTAATTCATTTATTAAAAAAAACTTTTTGTAGGTGCTGTTATATCTTATTTATGTTAGAGTGTGGTAGAGTTGTTTGAGAGTTACTTATGCAAATAATAAAGTATAATTTCTATAATATTATTAAGTTATAGTTAACTGCATACTCATTATAGCTTAGCAAACACTTTTAAAGTTAGCAAATCTTGATGTTTTACCTAACATGTGGTAACTAAATGACACGGAAAAGTAATTAAGGAGTTAAGAGGTACACCATTACTCTCTTTACAGACTATTCAATAAAAAAAACAGTAAAAAAAGATAATTATTGGTATTACAAAACTAAAACAAATCAGATGTTTACCATCGCTGTATAAAAAATTAAGCTAAAAAATTTGTGGACTTTGATACATATTCAAGTCAAAAAAATATGATTAAATTTTAAGGAGAGTTTTTAGAACATTGATTGAGTTTAATTTTGGCGGACGACTTTCGGATATGTATAAAAAGTAGATTAGTCAATCGTACTTTAGTCGTGTTATACAATAAATATCCGGTTTTTGGTAAATAAATAGTTTTTACTAAACACTCGAAAAAGTATCTATTGAATATAAGTAGACCGTAATGTTGATGACACGATTTAAGTTTATGAATAAAGCCATTTGATGTAATAAAGAATAATACTGTTCTTATTATAAATACTTATTTCCTGTTATGTTATTGCATTTATTTCTAAAAATGATTATATAATTAAGGTTCCGTACCTCGAAAGGAAAAAACCGGAACCCTTATAGGATCACTTTGTTGTCCGTTCGTCTGTCTGACAAGACCCTTTTTTATTAACATATGTTATTAATTTTATAAAAAAAAGAGTCTTGACAGTCAGACGGACGGACAACAAAGTGATCTTATAAGGGTTCCGTTTTTTTCTATGAGGTATGGAACCCTAAAAACCTCAAATGTATACTATAATACATAGTTGTATAAAGTGTATTATTTCTTTATCTTACAATGTAACTAGTTAGATTATAAACTGACGATTACACAGTTGATCGATTAAATATCTAATTTATTCCCTCTAATAATGTTGGCTAACATGAATACTCTTTTGTTTATTGTTCGACATATTTCACAGGAAACGTTCCAAATTATGACATCGAAGCATTGTATTTGATCAGATAATCTAGTTCCGATTCATTTTGAGATGATGTAATGTCCATTCAAGTTCTGATCTCACAGTAAAATGGACAATGTGTCAGTTGTTTCTCACGATTTACATAAATTCCCAAGGGTTGCAATTGTAACTGCAATAATTCAATTATGTTTCTTTGCTATTTTTTTTCAGGTTAAATGTGCAAAATAACCTCTTGCATGAAAAAGTCGCAACATATAGATTAAAAATATTGAAATATGGCTGTATTATATTTGTAAAAATACATGTTTTTAAGACACGGCCTCATTTGGTTTGTAGATGTAAAATCTGATCGGTTTTTTTTTTAATTAAACTAACCTAAAAAATTGCTTTCCATAAAAACAATAATTTATGTTAAAAATATAAATATATGTTTAGTACCTAATAATTCATTATTTTGAGACATATTCACACAATAAATGCTAAATACAATGAAAGTATTTGGTCAATGCACTCTTTCTTCGGATAGCGATTTTCTTTCCCATAACGTAAAGAATCCAACTTTATGACTGTAATTATAAATAATTATGTGAACGATTTACATCTGCAAGATAGTTTTGAAATATTTCGACTGAATCGTAAACTTTCGACATGATGTAAATAATATTTGATCAGAAATATACGAGGAACCATTTTAACTAAACATTTGATTTTTAAAATTAGAAATTTATCTAATAAAGGGTAACATAATTGATTTTTAATCAAGCTTTCTAAAAATTATTAGGAAGAATTCCGACTCTGTGCCGGTGTATCGCAACACTAGCCTTATTAAAATGTCAACGTTTATGTCCCCTCACTAATCAATCTGACACTTGACTCAGTCACGAAAGCGCGCCATTCTAAATGATTCTAACTAATAATGTCAAAATAAATCAATTTCTGACGTATAAAAATAAAGACAATATAAACAAATATGGATAAGTTTCTCTGTAAGGAAAACACGACTTCTACTAAAATGGTAAGAATCATAATTTCGTTTAAGGTTTATTAAGTAATTTATAATTAGCCGATGCTAAATGTTACTTTATAATAATTCAGGTTTTAATCCTTAATTCTACGAAATTTTTTGTAGCAAAAAACTGTTTTTTTTTTAGTAAAGTCATAATATACATAATCATAATTACGTAATTTTCTCTAAACTAGTTCAGTAGATTTTTTTAATTAGTTGCTCGTCACACTGGACACCATCGAATTTAGGGTTAATTATACAACACGGAAACAAAAGGCTACTATACAAGGAAATATATATAAAGTTACTGCTTTCTATGTAATCAGTTTCATAATCCAATTGAAAATGAAACAGGGAAGGCATACCGCTATCGGGGACACAATATATTAGTAAAGGGCGTCTGTTTGTGTGAAAGTGTCTTCCGTGTGACGTAACCTAGGTTAACCGCTCTCATAACCTAGAAATTATACAAACTATCTTATTGGGTTTCCACTGCCGAAACATTAATATAAAAACATATGTCATCTCTCTTAGTTTTATGACGAAAAACTCTATTAAAGATCATAATATTCTACTTAAAAAAAACTAGTTGCTTTGCAATTTACCTAATTACCCTTAATTAAATGTTGATTCATTTACGGAGCTTTTGTAGCTCAGATTTAAAAAATAGGGTTTAAATTGGATTTTATAATAATTAAAATAAATAATTAAATTAAGCAATAGGTAACATCAATAAAGAGCGTCGGTGGCTGAGGGGTCAATCACTTGACTTGCAAACTGCAGGTACTGGGTTCGAATCCCGCCAGGTACCAATGTGTTTTTCGATTTCCGATTTACATATGTACATTTATCCGACGTTCTTACGGTGAAGGAAAACATCGTGATGCAACCTGCACATATCTGAGAAGAAATTCAAAGATATGTATGAAGTCAACCAACCCGCACTAGGCCAACGTGGGTGACTATGGCCTAATCACCCTTAACTTAGGGTAGGCTCCGAGCCCCTCGGTGGGGACGTATAGTGAGCTGATTATGATGAGGTAACATCATACTTTGGCAATAAGTTGCGCGAGATAATAATTTTGCAACAACGTATAGGATTTATGTCCAAGTAATATATTTTGCATTTGTCATCTAGGTCAATTATTAACATACGAGATTACACAATTACTCTAGAACTTGAATTTTAACTAAATATATTGTTTTTATAGCATACTATTGATTTAAAATTAGATTAGAGAAAACCCCAATAGCCTATTGGTTAAGACTACATCCGAACATGTTCCGTGTTCAAATCCATCATCGAATTATCATTGTAAAGCACACCTTTTACAAACTTTAAAGTTGGAATATGATAATTTAAAAAATAAAAAAGTAAAATAAATTAACTCATATTGTGAAATAAGTTAAGTTAAAATTTCTGATAAATATACGTACTAAAAATATTGTAATATTACATAAATATGTTTATTTATGGCATAAATATTTAGTAACATAAAAAATATATACTCGTAGTGCTCTGTATTTTTCCTTCGACCACAATAATATTTACGCAATATATCGGCGACTGGACAAGGTAGGCAAGGCGAGTCGGGGTCACTGACACAGTGCACTTTCACTCAGGGAGCTCACATCCTCCGGTATCGATAGGTTACGATCAAACGATTGCTTTATTTTGACGAAGATAATATCATTGTTGTAAAAAAAATGTTAAACAAACTTTTTAACTCCTAAGAACTGAAATAGAGAAATATTACAGTTAAGATGAAATCTTCAATTTACTTTACTTAAGATGTTATTATTTTTATTAAGTCCTTCAAAATTACTTTTAGCAACAGAATTAGTTTAAGTAAATATGAACAAATATATTGTAAAACTTTAAATCACATCATTCTAGTTAAATTTGTAAATAAAAACGTTACATCGAATTCAAAATACGTTTCCTTTTTAAATACAACGATTCGTTTCGTCATCACAAATACGTATTTCCGTTCGAAAGGGAAAGTGAACGTTTATATAAAGAAGTCAACCAAATGTGGCATTGACGAAATTTTGAACTAGGACATGCTTTGGCAATCGAAGGAAGTCAAAAATACACAAAAGATGGGCGAAGAAAAAAATATATATTTACAAAAAGCAAGAATCAGTAACAGTAGGTCTAGAAAGAGAGATGGAATGTGTGAAAGGTGACATGATTAAGAAATAAGTGACAATTGAAATGGTAAGTAAATCTGGAGGACGAAAACTGTCACACAAACCCCACTTACAGTGAGATTAAGATTGGGAGACGATGAAGAAATTCTTTGCAGAAGAATCGAATTCGAAATTTGAAAATCAAAGCCTGTGTACAGCTTTAAAATATTTGTAACTTTATCAATGAATCTTACCAAATAGTATCTATTAAATCATAATATCTATATAATAATTCCGGAGACGGTAAAGGCGGCTCTGGTATGTCATAATTTTCATCTACCACCGATGACATCACGATTAATTCTGAAAAATTCATTGCATAAATTCACGAGGAAATAACATAATATGTATTATGACGTGCATATTATTATGATGAATTATTTATTATGTCAATTAAATGAATAAATGATAACTGTAATTAATAATTTAGTTACATGTACAAATGTGGTGACCTGAGTAATATACGTAACCTAAATTTACACACAGAAATGTTATGAATTAATATATCTCTTTCATAATATATATGTGTCTCTATATCTATACTTATTAATAAAATTTAACTATCTGTGTAACATCGAAAAAAATTGTATTTTGTGAACATGATGTATACAGCGTGTCCCAAAATTCAACGATAGCTATGTTACTTAGGTAGCTAACACTAGCTACAAAAAATATTACAGGAATATCATCATATTTGTAGGCACAGTATCTAATCATATGAGTATCAAATTATGAGAAAAGTTACAAAACTTAACATAATAACTTAAAAAAAAGAGTTGGATTTTTTTTTGTATTTCTCCCTGTGTAGTTATTGATCTGGCTATACACCATTACCGTTTTATCGTTGAATTTTGGGACACGCTGTATAAGCGTTAATAAGAATAGCCAAGTATTAAAATTTTTGTCTATCCGTAAATCCGTGTTTGTTCGATCTGACGTGACTTTCATGGCATGGTAGCTGTTGCACGCGGTCATATTCTGGGCTACTTTCTTGCTCTTAATATAATTTTACGTCGTTAATTTAAAATTGTTATTTTAGTACAATGTTTTAGTTAATCCTGTGCGTGCTTTTAATATTTTATCTCTACTTATTAAATCAATATTTTAACGCTATTACTATGTATTGTTATTACAATTCAACCGCATTTACGATGGACGCAATAAAATATCTTATTTCGGACACGCTCGTTAAAACCCCGACATTGTGAAACATGAATCAATGGATTTAACGATTTATTTCACAATTACAATGAATATATTTGAATGAATTTATAAATTCTTTGATTTGAACTATTTATATCAAAAAATAAGTCTTAATTTAGTGGATTTTTGTACAGATTTGAATTAGTATAAAGTTATAGTAAATGTCGCCTAATTTTGTACTTAATTTTTTAATTAATCAAATTTTTAGAATACATATAGGGTGTACTTTTTAAATTTAAATAATAAGCTCTAGATAATTTAACTTAGACGAAATAATCTTATTAATGAGGTATCTTATTAATGAGGAATCTCATTTTAGAGCTTTAGAATGCTTCTTTAAATTCTTAATTTTTATATTCGCTTTCATATAGAAATTATCTTACCAAGATTAGTTCGAACTAAACTTGGTGAAATCCTCAGATTTGCTTAATTAAAAAGAACGTAATAGTATTGACTATTATGTTTAAAATGACTAATTGGAACCCTTGGTTTCTGAGACAAAAATCTCTGTATGAAACATATCGTCATCCCAGTCATAATCTTTAACAAAACTGAGATGATAATACGTTTTTTTATAAACGAAAGGGGCAACGGAACGGCAAATGGACATCTGCAATACTTGAGGAACCGCATGCGTTTCCCGCCATTGAGATGTTGATACTTTTTAAACGGCGATTATGGTCTCAGAAACCCAAGATAAGTCATATAGGAAAACCTCTCTAATATTTCATAATGTATGCAAATAATACGGAAGTATTACCGCATTTAATTCTGCTTATACTTAGTTCCGGTGAGGCAGAGATCACTTATGTAAGACATAAGTCTATGCTAACCTTAAAACTCGATGAACATATTTTAAGCATGCAAGAAGAAGATGTAATTATGAAGATTATTAGAAATTTTATGGTACTAAATTTTTTTACTGCAGTTTTGTTATTTTTAATCCGAATTTAAATTATTATATTTCTTTTTTATTTTATTATTTTCAGCCAGTAATGTTGTTCACAAATCAGGATTCTAATATAGCAACAAGTTTCTGGATATTATTTATTTTCTATTATTAATTCAGAATCATTTAGTTCTTGAGTAATTTTATTAATAATTGTCCGAAAAATTAGCAAAAAAAATCGTATTTTTCTGTCCTAAAACATCATATGTCATATTTACTTGAATATTTTTTTTTAAGAATTTAAATTTATAATGATAAAAAAATTGTGATTTTGTGCGCCAGTTTTTCTTTTAAAAATATCTTGCAATTTTAATAAAGTTTAATCTCCTTTTTGACAATTATTAATAATCTGTAATTAATTGTTGAAAAAATAAAAATATATTTTGAATTATAACCTCACTTTTAATAAGCTCAATAATTTATATTAATAAAATATATTCAAGTAGTATTTTTCCAAATTGTTCTTTTTATGTTTATGTTGAAATATGTTTTCGTGTTAAATGTACCATTACCATACAATTACTATATTTAATATGATTGCATAATTATTATTTCACAATAATCGAAAATAATATTTTGATTGTCGTCAAACTTACTCAATATATACTTAACGTTTTCAAAACGACTAATCATGGGTTTCTGACAACAAAAATGTATAAAATAACGTCATCCATGTCATTATCTTCGTCAAAACAGAGATAGCAATATACATATTTTTTTATAACAGTTAGGGGCAAACGAGCAGCGGGAACACCGATGTGTTCAACGACACCCATGGACATCAGTAATACCAGAGGAACCGCAGATTTGCCGGCCTATATGTTTTAAACGGGGATTTTTGTCTCAGAAACCAACGATTAATGGACTAATAACTCGTAACTTTCATGATTGATATTAAATGATATTCCATAACAAGTTGTTGTAATGCTAATCCTACTGAAATTAATATTTTAATATAGGAAATTGATATCATTATGTTTTTATTCATACCGTATGAGATATTGAGGTTAATCGTCATATGTTTGATTACGAAGAAGATTGAAATCTATCACAAAAAATAGCGACACAAATTAGTTTGAATGTTAAATAAAGTTTTGCTTATTTTCGAAAATATAAGAAGTATTTTAGGTCCACATTTGTTTGCCTTAAGTCATTTCATTGCATCACTTGAAGGCTAACGGTTGTTTTTATTTATCAGTTGTCGCTTTAAATTTAGAGAGTAGTTTTAGCATTGTAGAGTAACTTAGCTCGAGGGGTCCTGCGACAACCTCGATCTTTGCCATTCCTACATATCACTAATAATTATTACCAAATTGGAAGGTCGTTAAGTCGCTTTGGTATTCGTTAGATGGAGTAACTGAGCTCAAAGGCCCCGAGAGTTCGACTTTTTAGCGGTGCTCATTTAATATCATGTAATCGGTGTGAGCGTTGGTGGCTTAGGGGTTAAGCACTAGACTTGTAATGTGTCTTGTGTCCTGGGTTCGAATTTGTACCAATATTTTTTTCGATCCGACGTATGGTAAAGGAAAACATCAAAAATACAAACTGCACATATCTACGAAAAAAATCATTGGGGATGTATAGTGAGCTGATGATGATTCGTTTGTCTTTTAAAGCTTACCGTCAATGTGCGAAGGGTATTTGTGCGCTGCGAAGCCTGTAGGCGCGGCGAGGGCGGAGGAGGTGTGCGGGTAGTGTGCGGGCGCGGTGGGCGCCGCATAGGCGCTGGGTGGTGGTCCGTACTCTACGTGGGAGGTAGGTGGAGGACCGTATATTACCGCCGCTGAAATTATATAACAAATTTAACAATCACACATTTAATTTGGCACTTCAAGAACATGAGTACTCGTGTAATACTTGTGCCAACTAAAACCGCTGGTAATATACAAATTGGAAACAAGAAATAAAATGTGTATGCTTTTGTTTCTATGCTTTTAAAAGTCAAATTAGGCATCAAGTTACAGTATATGTGTTTCTTATGGTTAGGAAAATGTCTTGAAATAAAGAAAAACATAAAGTGAAATTGAATTTATATTTTTCAGACGATTATAACAAAATGTCATAAATCAATCTCTATAATGCAGTAATTCTGTTAGTAATAAAATTATTGTATAATAATGAAGCTTATATAATTTATAAGTATAATTCACACGATCATACGAGTGAAGTAAACAATACAAAATTATATTTAACTTTGCATATGTTACGTAAGTTGAAGTGATAAATGTCATCATGAACAAAGGAAACTCTTACAAAGTTTATTATTTTTACATCCAAAAGAGAAACGATTGAAATTGATAAAAGAGTTATTTTTACTTAATACATCTCCTGAATCTTCATTTATCGTAAGAGAGGTTTAGTGTCAGCTCTGACAAATCCTCTCCAAGGGCTCTAGCCTATTATGTCAGGAGTGACAATGATTTAGTAGGATTATCTGTAAAACAAGTACAATTGAGGAGTAAAAGATTAGCGTGGTTTGGACATGTTATGAGGAGGGATGATGATGATATAAGCAAAAAAGTAATGAGATTGAATGTGGATGGCTACAAGGGTAGAGGAAGACCAAAAAAAGTATGGAATGACTGTGTGAAAGAGGATATGCGTAAGAAGGGGGTAGACTCGGATATGACGGCTGATAGAGATGTATGGAGGAGTAGTACATGCTGTGCCGACCCTCGATAGGGATAAGGGCAGGTTGATGATCTGTAAAACAAGTATTACTTGTTGGAGGAAAACTTGTCAGTTCTTACCTGCTGGTTTCTTATGACTTAAAGCTGCAGAGCTTACGATCTTCTTTCCAAGATTGCTGACCACGTCACCTTTAGACGATATCACTCTGCCTAGACTAGCGGCTAACGCACCTCCTCCCTTGATCAACTGACCCTTTAGGATTGTCACACCTCCAGTGATAGCCTTCACCGCTTGGAACAAAGTGTACAGGATGGATTTCTTTAAGCCCCAGTAGTCTACTTTTTCATCATGCTGTAGAAAGTAATATTAAGATTAGTTAGTAAGCATTCATTTGTTTTTTGCTAAGGTTATTTTTCTGTTTTTTAAATAGGTATTCTAAGCTACTCATTATTTAAAAATTTGCATGTATTTTATGATTCCTTGTTATATGTTGCTTTTTAGTGACCGTCGGATAGTTCATTTTATTGTCACTGTATAAGTGAAGTGTACTTTTTATTGCATGTATAAAATTAATTTCTATTTTACCAAAGAGATAAGCTTATTAGAAAATCTCGAGACATAATGATAGTGGATTGTAGCTACTATTTATAGTAGTCCTTAGTACTTACTGGTTCATAAGAATATCCATGTTCTCCATGTTCAGATTTACTGGAGGCGGAAGAAACGAATGATGCAGCTCCGGCTGACGCCTGACCCAGCAGGCCGAGTTTGCTCTGAATACCTGACGCTGCTTTCGAAGCGACCGCACTTAATGATTGAGCAGACGATCGCTTTGTTCTATTGAAAAATAAAATGTTTAAAGTATGAAGTCGTTTATGTCTTTTGTATGAACAGAAATATGTGAATGGTTTTCATTCGAACATACCATCTCACATTAAGCTAGAGGCGTTCTAAATCTATATATATAAAAGAAAGTCATGTTAGTTACACTATTTATAACTCAAGAACGGCTTTACCGATATGGCTGAAAATTGTTGAAGAGGTAGCTTCGAGCCAGGAGACGGACATAAGTACTATTTATTCTTTTTTTTTTCGAATTTATGCCTTGAAGAGCTGCTTTTTATTTAACCTACTAATATTTTAAATACGAATGTTTTGATGGATGTGATGTGGATGGATGGATGGGTGGGTGGGCTACACTAATTAAATTTTTTATATGTCCACGCGGACGGAGTCGCGGGCTAGTATTATATAATTGTTTTTTTTTTATAGGAGAAGGGGACAAACGAGCAACGAATCGTCTAATATTATTTGATCCGACGCACATGGATATCCGCAGCGCCAGAGGAACCGCAGATGCGTTGTCGGCCTTTAAGGAAGTTAAAGTTAAGTTGTTACCTTCGGCACATCGAAATATTAATTCAATGGACGCAATTGTTGACAGCGATAAAGACAAACTTTTTTATAGCCTTAACGACACGACTGGACTCTACTGCGTCGAAGTCATCCAAATAACATTAAGTGAACAAATAAATTGGTTACATAACTACGCGCGCATTCTCGCGATTTGGTCATGGGTCGATGTGTGTTGGCGGAACATTATACCTCATAATTTCTTCAGCTGCGAGACCCTCGGCTAGTACTTCCAACTGCTGCGGTGTCATACGGCTAATGGCTGCCATGTCGATGATATCCAGCTCGAGGGGAGCGCGTGGCGCAGGCGCTGCGAGCGACGTTGCCAAGCAAAATAGGCACACCCATATCTGTTGTAGAAACAAAGTATAAGTATATTACTCTATTTATATGAAATATATTTAGTATCAATGTCTTTCTGGAATAATAAAAGAGATATGTGTATTCTTTACTTTGATATCAAAACATTAAGACGGTTCACATTAAGTTAAGTTGAGTTAAGTTTGTGGTAAATAAGTATGCCAGTGCCAACAAATATTGTGTCGAAATAAGTCTAAAATATAGTTAACAAGCTAGATAAATAGTGTAATTTCTCTTCTGTAAGGAAAGTCGATAGAAAAATTGATCTCGGCCTGATCAGTAGTCATTTGTTTTCATTGCTTTTATTTCTCACTATTGTCTCTATAGTTATGAACTGAACAAATAGCTATCTACTACCCATGTACAATAACATGGGAACAACAACATGACGTCGCTTTTAACCCGTTTCTAAGCAACGCTCTCCCGAGCCTATACGACTATGGCATTCGTTAAAATGTAGGCTCATATATAGCGCTTTAGGAATTTTTTACAGAATGTTACGCTCGAACGTATTTGCAGAACCAATCAACATCTTCCTGTGATCCCATGTAAGGTTGACGCACCAGGTTTTTATCTGGATAATAAATCGACCTTTCTTCCGCCAGTTCAGTCACCAGTTCTTAACCAAGTTTCCTTTCACTCAATCTAACCATATCATCCGCGACCGGAGTATCTATACACATTCATTAGACTTCTAATAATAACATATAAATGTTTTGAGATCAAAATCGATCTTTATAACATATTCTCGTAGTTTTGTCAATACGGATGACGATAGGTTTACAGAGATTTTGGTCTAAGAAACCAACGATAAATAAATCATGAGGAAGTAAGTATACGTGCGTAAATAAAGTGTAAGATCCGACTGATTGTCGGTGCGCGGCGCGAGCCTTGGCAGTGAAAAGCGAAAGTTGTGGCAACGTCACCGCGGTCGCCGCACCGCAGTGTTTGGAGCTCTAAAACTAGCGTATTATTTAATGATGTAATAATATTATAATTAATTCTCATTTTCAACAGCTTTATCACTATACTAGCTGTCGCCCGCGAATCTGTCCAAGCGGAATTTAAAAAAAAATAGTAGCCTAAGTAATTTGTAGGATGTGTGTTCTTCCAGTTATTTACTGATTGTTAACTTGTTTATTTCCCTATAAGTAAACACTGCACTGATTGTATTAATTCTTTGGGAGAATGAGACCGTACAAAATTTAAAAAAAAGACACGATGCAGAAAAAAATATTATTCAACTTTAATAAAATTATTTTTGAGTTCATATTGCATCGAATGCCTTGTCTAGCAGTATTTGTAAACACACTTGACACTAAGCAATGTTGCTTTATCCTAGTGATGATTTAAAGTTTCGTGGCCCCACTGTTTAAATACTTGGCGTATCTAGAAACTTCAATAACTAGATTAGTTCGTAAAAATATTTTTTAAGAATTACTTAATTCATGAGAAAGTTATTTTAGTTATTTTTAATCAAACAGAAAGTAAGTTTTTATTTCTTTATATTAAACACAGACAACGTAGAGTTCATAAGAATAAGAGATATTCATAGTTTGTTTGTGTTTATACTGAAAAAAAAATCGTAAAAAAAAAAACATCTTTACAAAGAAATTGGATTGATTGATGAACGTAAACATTAGTAACAAAAGTTAATTTTTCTAAATTATTTATTTCTCAGTACCTGGATGACCTCGGTATTTTTTTTAATTGTGTTTTTTGGAAATTATATTTAAGTACGAATTACTAAAATGATGAAATAGGAATAATATTTTTCGATCTGACCGATAGAAAAAGTTAAGTTTATGTTTAAGTTGATTATCGATAAAACACGAATAAAATAACATTTTCTAAAAATGATTCCTAGCTAGATCGATTTATCACCCCCGAAACCCCCTTTATACAAAATTTTATGAAAATCGTTGAAGCCGATTCCGAGATTCCAATTATATATATATATATATATATATATATATATATATATATATATATATATATATATATATATATATATATATACAAGAATTGCTCATTTAAAGATATAAGATTCAAAAGATGAACTGACTGAACTAAATATGAACTATCGAACGAAAGATGATTGTGATTGTGTGTAATTAAATACACTATTAAACTAATACTAAACATATTAAAAATAAAATTACTTTACAACTTAAATACATACTTGTACTGAAATTCTAAAATACAAGAAATAAAATCGTACACACAAACATAAACAAAAATACTTATTGCGTAAAAAGCATCAATTGGATTAAAAAAAACAAATTGCTTAAGATCAATTATTTTATTGCATAAAAGCATTAATATATTTATTCTAGAAAGTCCAAAACATGACCTAAAAGCTTACTTAACTGGTCTGTTACTGATTTGACATCATAAAACTTTGACCTATAGAACGAGAACACGCTGTATCAAAACGTGAAGGTAGAATTTAAAAAGTAGTTCTACAGGGTGTTACGCAAATCGCTATTAATTTAATGAATTTAGGTTTTTTGTGTTTGTTTCGTAATAATTATCAATTTTTTACTTCCTGTAGTTTATTCATTTATCTGAGAGAATTATTTTTATCACTCTCTGTACTGTTACATACTTCATCATCAGCTCACTATACGTCCCAACCGAGGGGCTCGGAGCCTACCCTAAGTTAAGGGTGATTAGGCCATAGTCAACCACGCTGGCCAAGTGCGGGTAGGTTGACTTCACACATATCTTTGAATTTCTTCTCACATATGTTCCAGGTTGCATGACGATGTTTTCCTTCTCCGTAGGAACGTTGAATAAATGTACGTAAGTAAATCGGAAATCGAAAAACATATTGGTACATGGCTGGATTCGAACTCAGAACAGATTGCAAGTCAAGTGCTCGACCCCTGAGCCACCGACGCTCTATTACGTACTTACGTTTATTTTATAAATTAGTAAAAAACTTGTGACTTTATTCCAAATTCGACCATAATCTTAATAATATTATAAATGCAAATCTTTTGATGCATGAATGGATAGATGTTTATTAAAAGGTATCTCTAGAGCGACCGCATAGATCTCGATGAAATTTGGCATAAATGTAGGATATAGTCTGGAAGAACATAAGTAACTATTTTTTTTAATCCACGCGGACGATATCTCACAGCTAGTACAAAATAAAACATATTATTGATTAATAATAGCTTATTCTACTTATCTACATTAACTTTAACTTTAAACAAATATCACGTTTATCCGTTCACGTAATTTCCTTAAAAATGTATGAAAAGTTTTTATTTCACGTATTAATATAAATATTCTTTCTCATCGAACCAAGACTAAAACATATCTAATAATTCTTCTATGCTAATATTATAACGAGGAAAGGTTTGTTTGTTTGTTTGTATTGAATAAACTCCGAAACTACTGCACCGATTTGAAAAATTCTTTTACTGTTGGGAAGCTACACTATCCCCGGTGGACATAGGGTTTATTTATTACTAGATTTTTTTATTCCACGCAGAAGTCGTGGGCAACTGCTAGTTATAAATAAAACTAAGTACCGTATCTTATGTATCATATTGTTGTCAAATATATAACAGGAAATAGACAATAGCCACTTTAGTTAGTTATTTCAAAATTCACGCAAGCCTGGCAATGTTGATTACCACCTGTATTGTTTATGGTAGCTCATGCCACTTATGACACCGTGTCAGTTATGCTGTGGTAGAGCTGTGACTAGTTAGGAAATATTTTCTATAGTGGCATTCTTTTGTAACGATATATTTCTTCCTTTTTAGGGTTCCGTACCTCATAGAAAAAAATCGGAACCCTTATAGGATCACTTTTTTTATGAAAAAGATTCATTATTATTTCCCAAATAACAAAAAAAATCTATTTGAACTTGATATGAAATTACTTAAATATTTGAGCTTCAATTTTTGTTTCAATTTTTCAAAAATATATCAATTTGTTTGACACTTTTGTCCTTGCACTAGCTGTTGCCCGCGACTCCGTCCGCACATTAAAAACTAAATTAGTAGCTTATGTGTTCTACCAGACTTCTCTTTACATTAGTAAGATAGTAAGATTTATATAAATAGCTCAGTTCGGATATCGCGAGTCGTCTGAGCCGCTGTGTGGCTTTTCGTTTCCTCGTTCTAACCGATAAGTATAATACTCGACGTGTATTTGTCGACTTTGAGTGCTTCAAATAGAAAGCTAGACGCTATCTTCCTCGTTGTATAAAGAAGTTATAATCATATTATAGTTACTTCTACGATTTATTAAGTTTTTTAGTACTCTGAGAACCCTACATTAAGAAGAGCTCTACAGAATTATTTTAAAAAATTTACGGTAACATTCAGTGCCGTAAAGTACTTTAAAGCCGTAAAATACATAATGTACTTTAGTAGACAAAAGTTACTTCCACAAGACAAATTTTCTTTGCAGAATTTATTAATTCATAACTGTCGTCCCTTACTTCTTCATTGATAAGACAGAGACGAAAATACTTATCAATACAAGTGGCACTGCAATGGAGTTCTACGTTTAAACTATCTGTTTGAATATGGAACACTTTAAAAAAAGAATGCGTGACGAAGCGATTACTTTTGACAGTTAGCGTGCCATTACGTCAGTGCGCCTGCGCATTGTTGTTCTCTTGCTAACGTAACAGAGTAGATACGAATCTCACTCGAGGCATCAGGAAATAAACGTGTTTATAAAGTCAACTAAACGGCCAATTAAAAATGTGCAAATTAATGTTTGTAATAGATAATAATTCTACAAAAGAATAGTAAAATAATTAAACTAAATAATTAAAATGCTACTTGAAGACAGTATTTCACGCGATAACTAAGCACAAAAACAGGGCTAATTAAGAAATAAAAATCAGTTTTATTTTGTAATATTTGTAGGTTATTTGAATTAATAATAGTCGTAATCTAATCGATTAGGTAGAATAGTAATCAATATGTAAAATCAATACTTGAGAAATGATTTTTTTCAAGCGAAACAAGCAGGTGAGAAGATAATGTTTAAAGATTCTAAACACGTCGTCTCAACTCTGGGGTCACGGGTTATATAACAATACATAAGTAGGACGAAGAAATCCGCTTTGTCGACTCGGAATTCTTGTGATTAACATATCCGAAAACATTATCCGCAAATTGTTTTGCAATAAAATATCTTCATTAATTATAATCCTTCTTATGTCTGCTTATGCCAATCTTACTTCTTACTTATGCGAATGTTTGGATGTATGGATGTTTTTTTTTTTTTTTTTTTTATGAGAGCGGCTTTGTGCCGCTCTCGCCTTCACCCCTGACATGTATGGTCAGAGTCTTTGTTCATCCTAATTTAGTTTTCTACAACAATTTTAAAATTTTGGTTTTTAAATTACAATTTTCAACTTGCTTTTACGTTTTTTAACATTAAATTTACGTTACTATTTATTTCACAACTACATTTTTACTTTTCTGACTTATTTACATTTTACATTTTACCTTTGTTTTATCTTTGTATTTTTAATTTTGACAATATTTTAGCGCTAATCGATGGACTACATGGTGGTGCTTCTCCCTGTGTATGTGTATGGATGTTAGAAGATATCTCGAGAACGGCTGCATGGATCTCGAAGAAATTTGGCATATATGTAGAAAATAGTCTGGAAGAGCACATAGGCTACTAAATGTTGTTTTTAATACCGCTCGATTGGAGTCGCGTGTCGGTTACTTTAATATGTGTTATTCATAGTTATAACTACAACATTTTTGACAAATATTCGCTTTAGTGTATAAAATTTAAGTGTTGTTAATGTCTCGGGGCCTTCCTTAAATAATTGGGTACTATCGCTTGGGCCGCGGACGAGAGCGAAAGCGTGCCCGTGGCCCCGTCCCGATGCGTCAGAGGGCAGTCAGGTTTTAGTGGGTATTCTGGTCACCTTCTGTGGCCGGCGAGTCCCACACTCCCTACGCCATTGCACCGCCCGGCGTAGGCGTGCGTAAATGCATTTCCTGACTATAAAAAAAAAAAAAAGGGTACTATCGCTTCACTATTATCTGCAATTCTTAATTTACGTGATTCTCTAAACGAAGCAAACTTTAAAATTGTGATGTTTAGTCATTGACTTTGATTTTTTAACTTAACAACTTTAATTTTATGCATTTAATACAAATATTTTAATAATGAATAAAATAAATGAATTCAACGTTTCCTTCCTCCAACAAATAGGGATGTGCCACTTTCTATCGACAACCTTCCGCATATTAGTGTCAACAGATGTTAGTAATATCGATAATTTGTCCGACGCATTGCGGTAGTCAGAAAGCAAAACGGATTCACTTTCGATGCTATGTTACGTTATGTGTCGATGGCCGCGAAGCCTTCTGTTGACTTCATAATATTAGTACAGTCGTGGACTTTAATTTCCCACCCATTTCGGTGAAATATTATTAAAGCTAATATTAAATTAAAGCTTTTACGTTGTCAGTTTGCTATAAAATATTTGAACCTAAATGGGAAGCAAATTAAATTCGTTGACTTGATGGTTAAGACTTTATTAAATAAATAAAAATAATAAAGATATCCACGTATATAGCTAGTCTATAAAATTACTGTTATATCTGTATAAAAATAGTTTGTTCTCTTAAAGTAACTCTTGAAAATATAGTAGATGTCTCCCGCGACACCGTCCGCGCGGAATTTAAAAAAAACTATTTGTCGTAGCGTAATGTTATGTAGCCTAAACCCTTCCTCTATAAATGGACTATCCAACAAAATAAGAATTTTTCAAACCGGACCAGTACTTCCTGAGATTAGCTCGTTTAAACAAACAAACTCTTCCACTTTATAATATTAGTATGGATGGGTTTATCCAGACTATGTTCTATATGTATGCCAAATTTCATCGAGATCCGTTCAACCGTTTTGGAGATATCTTCTAATAAACATCCACGCATCCATAAATCGAAACATTCCCATTTTTATGTTATAAAGTGGCAAACGAGCGAGTGGCCACGTGAAATCGCAGAAATAGCAAAGTGACCGTTGCCCATAGACATACGCAATTGCTTATGCGTTGCCTACCTTTCATCGACGGAGGAGAGGATGCACAGAAAGAAAACATTTCCATGCATCCTCTCATTCGGAAAATCCACTTCCACTTCACATCCTTTCCTTATAAGAAAAAGGGTAGGAAGGGAAAGAGGACTAATTTAGGCCTCCGAGACGCACACTCATCAGACGAAACTCGGAGTTGCTTCCACTTCACTCACTTCACACAGTAACTTTATAATATTAGTAAGATTTATATTTTACTTGATATTGTATTGCATCCCATATTCATCTCGTAATTATAAATACGATGTCTGTATAAACATATTGCTATTTATTTTAATACGAACGCATTGAATGTTATTCAAAGTTACAGTTAATTTCGGTTTAAAATTCTGAGTTTTGTCAGTGGTTAAGTAGACTATGTTAATTAAAAATTTCACTTAATTAATTTTAATACATTTTTATATGAATAATATTTTAAAAACTTATTCATCGACTTCTATATCCATTATCATCATCATCATCAGCTCACTATATGTCCCCACCGAGGGGCTCGGAGCCTACCCTAAGTTAAGGGTGATTAGGCCATAGTCAACCACGCTGACCCAGTGCGGGTTGGTTGACATCACACATATCTTTGAATTTCTTCTCAGATATGCTTCACCGTAACTTTTATATCGCCCATTTTGATTTTTAACTTGTGAGACTAATCTCGAGATTCATTTATTTATTTGACTTTTTTACTAATCTGTAATCATTTATTTTATTTAGATAATTCTATTACGTTCTTAACTAATACTAGACATTTAATAATTCAATTATAATCTTACTAAATAACTAACCACTACATAACAAATGAATAAATAATACGATATTAAATAAACTATATACCAAAACTAAACCAAACTAAATAATATATACTTGGACAAATAATATTTTAAGTTATAACAAAAATAACATTATAAACAAAGCTAAAATTAATACACAGATCTTGTAAATGTCATCGACAATTTTATATAATAATTAATATAGTAAATAAAATCTTCCAATTTCAAAATATATTTATTTTATGTCCTGGCATAGACTGGCATGACGTAGACTTCATAAAGAAAGATTCCTTATTTACGAAACTTCGTAAAATCACCAATACTTCGTTCATACATATTAAACAATTGAATTTAACTATATCTCAAATATTTCAATGATTGTCTATTATGTTTAGAAACAGAAGTCACTAAGAACTCCCTTTTTTTTTTAAGTTTATTTTTTGAATTTCGAATAAACTTCGAGACTAAAGTTTAGAAAAACTAAATGGCAGCAATTCATGTAGCCATATTCACGATTTTCCTTAAAAGTAAACTTACAACTGTCTAAAAAGGTATTGACCACTATTGAACACATTAGAAATGTAAGGAAAATTTACATCATTACGAATTTACGATGCGGTCGTGACCAACAGGATAAAATAACTTACGTACGTATAAATCTAAATAATAGAATACAGGGATATATTTAAGAGTAACAAGAATAAAGTTATTTTGGTTTATGAAGTTTTTCAATAATTTAAGTAGCAATGCGAGTAACTTTAAAATAACTTGTTCGGTAACCGCAAGTGGAAAGTTACTTTTTAAGAGTACCGAATCATATTTTCATTTAAATTTTTAATTTATAAGCAAACACATGTCTTTCACTTTTAAAGATCACCTTACCTTAAGCGAAGAACTACAGACTTATAAAAATTAATGACTCTCACCTTTAATTTGCGTGTGTTAGTCATCCTGCTTTTCAAACAGCGAAAGTCACAGACACGTTCACAAAAAGTTCACTAAACACTAATAATTATTAAAATACACACTTAAAAATATTCGTAATAAATTAAAAATAAATATATATTTGTCTATGTTTTTCAAGATGGCGTCGATTTTGACAGTTTTACCGCCAAATTCGTATAACTTTCTCGCGCGTCGAACGTGCGTCGTTTGCGGGTTCGCTGTCACTCTCGCCGGCGGTGCGCTATTTTCTTTTATTTAAACATCGAATCCCCACTTTCTTGAAGATTGTGCATTATCGCATAACAGCATCAGGTGTTATCAAAAATTATTGAGGCCGCCCGGACGGATGATCTGTGTATCGACGTGAATTACGAAACCGTAATTGCATTTATTTTAGCATAACGATATTATAGAGGTTAGTTATGTCTGAAAACAGTAAAACATATGAGTACTATTTATAATAAAATGCAGTTATCTCTTTATTGCAATACTTTGTAACATAATTATATTCTTAATTAATTTATTTTAGTAAATAATGCATTCTATTTTGAGTATGTATATGCAGTAGTTCGTATGATCCGTTTTTCTGCGTATTTTATAGTAACTGTAACAAATTAACCTCAATATTGTGCAATAAGTGGATATATCTTCTACAAAAAGGATACATAAAATGTTTAGACACGTTCTAATATTAAGTTATCTTTCTTGGATCTGTTTTAAATCTAGATAAATTATAATAACAGCCCTTAGTGTTTACTGCTAGTTACACAACGCCCTACATCAAAGTATCGATTAAATTATCTGAGTCGTGTACATCCTTCTTTATATCCGATATGTGCAATCGTCCTAGATTTATACTTTAAATATACAGCGTGTCCCAAAATTCAAAGATAAAACGGTACTGGTGTATAACCAGATCGATAACTGCAGTTTAAATCGAGAATTTTAATTAACTATGACTCCTAATAACGCAAATTATATTAAAAACTCAATTATTAAAATTACACCGAAAAACGCAACGACAAAGAGCCTGTTAAAATAAGGAAAAAGAAATAAATAGTTACCTTATCTGTCGCCCGCGACACCGTTCGCGCCGAATTAAAAAAAAAACTTAATTAGTAGCCTACGTGTTCTTCCAGACTTTGTTCTACATCTATACCAAACAGCGAGATTCATGCGACCGTTCTGCAGATATCTTCAAACATTCTTCAATCTAAACTTTCGTATTTATATAATAATATTAGTAAGATTAATGTGTTATTGTTTATGTATATCAAATTATGTAATATCATTTACTTTGTAGTTTTGACATAATTTTAAGCAGATATTTGAAACAAAGAGTCGTTATAATGTGATATTATGAGGTATGAGGTAGCATTACGTTAGAATATGTGTTAAAATGTTACACGTCTATAATAATGTTGACAATTTCAAGTGGAAACAGTGCGTAGCGTTTACGGAAAATTTCTTCAGCTGGCATACAATATAATTTACACTCTATTGGTATGGTTTTAGAGATGGTTTTTAATTGATTATGATGGTGGGATTACAGAATTGCTCCTTTTCAGTTTTTTTACGTGACGTAATTATGGTGCATGTAAGTATTTGATGAATGTTATAAATTTATTGAGAAGATTTAGTACAAAAAATTATTCTCAAAGAATGTATGTTACGGAGGTTTTTCCAATGTTTATTTTTTTATAAGAGAAGAGGGCAAACGAGCAACTGAAACACCGAGGTGTTCATTGACGCCCATGGACATCAGCAATACCAGAGGAACCGCAGATGCGTTGCCGGCCTTTGAGATGGTGATACGCTCGCTTCTTGAAGGACCCTATCGTAGCGGTATGGAAATACCGCCGGGGACAGAGCATTCCACAACGCGGCTGTGCGAGGTAGTAAAATTATATCTTGTATTTTATACTTACTTTATAATTTATTATATTTGTAAAACTAACTATAAACTTAATTCACAAATAAGACTGGAGATAAAACAAAAAGTTGTAAAAATTGGTCTAAGGACATCGTAGTTATGTGAAATAAGTACATCATTATAGTAAAATAAAGTTCAAAAATATAAAATGTTATAATATAAAAATATAAAAACGGTAAGGTCTTAAAATTACAAATACCATTTAAGGTATATTTGCAAGTTTTATCATCTGTTAAAAAAAATCTCTTCATGTCAAAATTGTATCACTTACTGTGGGTTTTTGAAACCAAAATTCCAGTTTAAAACATGTTATTCTCTCTGTCAAAGATAATTAGGAGCATTACAATATTAATACTAAGATTTAGCTGTCAGAAGTCTACGGTTATTTAGCTTACTTAAGCTGTCCATATTCCGATATTCCGTCGACGCATCAACTGAGAAACTGTCACACGATCTTAATGTTTAAGTACAAAATGTCAGTAAGCATAAATTCATGCCGTCACTTATATTGAAGGATTGCAACAAAAATGAGGTTATAATACTAGAACATTTCTTCACAATATATTTTGTGACGTGTTGAAATTATTTATGTTATCTATGACACAAAATATCGCTGTCATTTTATGTTCCCATTAATCTATTTCCTTAAATGAATAATTAAATGTAATTTGACGTATTTCACGATATTTAATAACGTAGTGCGTTACTTTGCTTTACGATTTATTTTAATAAAATAATAATTGAATTTTATACATAAATCAATTTAATTTATTATCTTAAAATGAAATAGAAAATTTCATCTCCCTGTCCTTATCTCACGGGATGGACACAACAGATTTGGTGTACTAAATCGATCGATTAACCATTTCACTTGTATCTCCCTTTCTGATTATGTAGTCTATCTTTGGCCTACACATACCAATTTACCCTAATAAAAAAGGGATACTACGTCCCTTTTTATTCGGGTAAATTGGAAAATCGTTACCTTAACAATATATATAAATTATATCTATATTTACTTTTATTTTATTGATTAATCCGGGTGTAAAGTACTGGTTGGGCGCTTACGAAAAGTTTACGTAAGACGGACTTTCAATACAGCACGGAGATTCCTATCCGTTGGCTTCCTGACATATGCTCTAATACCAGGACATAAGTCCCGGACACTTTCTAATTACGATTGACCTGGATAAATTTAGCTATAAAGCTACTAAAAATTAACGCTATATGAAATCGTTCCAACGAAAAACAACTGAATAACTTGTGTTTTCATTTATAGCGATATAAAAAAAAGTCGCTTGCTTGTGCCATGGTTCCTTGTGAAGAGACTCCGTCCGCGCGGTATTAAAAAAAACTTAATATTCAAGCCTAAGCCTTTTCTTCGGGAATATGTTCTACATTTGTGCTAAATCTAATCCGTTAAGCCGTTCTGGAGATACCTTCAAACAAACATCCATCTAAACATTCGCATTTGTAATATTATTAAGTAATATAACATAATCATTGTCATGAATCAACTAAGTATCAAAAAACCAAACTTTGTCCTTTATAATGTTATTATGCAATCTTTGAACTATTCTATACATCTTACATAATAATACTTTTAGTACTAACAGTAATCCCTTAAAAATAACAAAGCTTACGCGAAATGTAAACACACAATGGTTTTGTAGGTTTCCCAACAGAACGGTCACACTCCTCACGTTTGGTTACGACAAATGGCCCATTAACTTTTCTAATGACAGTTATTTAGAAACATATTTGCAATTTTTAATCATCATTCATTTTGCCAAACTAATGACTAAGATGATACAAGTACATCATCAGCTCATATATGGGGACATACCAATGAGGAGCATAAACAATTAAGGGTTACTGAAAGCATAGACTAGAGAGGAGCGGCGAAGAAAAAGAAAACCACGGACAACCACGCCACGCGTTGTATTTTGGTTGTCTACTAAAATGGAATTTCTTCGAAGATATGTGCAGATTGCATCACAGTTATCTTCACCATAAGAACGTGGTATTAATGGTAAAAATGTTGAATATCGAATACTACACTTGTATGTGAGGTGCGTAAGGGGCGAGGATCCAACCTGGACGTGAAGATTACAGTCCGGTAAGGTGCTTAACAATGCCAACGACACCCTTGTGTCAAGTATATAACAGAAGGAACGTTTAGTCTTGTTTATTGTATTTTTTTTAAGTAATTTCACCAAGATTGATGCCGCCGTTCCATCCAAAAATTTTCATTTATAATATTCGTAGTAATTTCTTTTAAATATTACTATACAGTCTTTACAATCCATGTATATTTTTAGCTCTTAATTTTTAAGTAAATATTACATTTCTGGTTAAATAGTCATTATACATGTTTTTATTTTCAATACGAAGTCGGGCATAAATGGAATTAATTCACTCAAAGCATGACATAAGAAGCTCGTGGTTAAATCCACAAAAATAAAATATATGGCCACAAAAAAAAATGTGATCGTCAATCAAAACAAGGAAGTTCCGATTAACAAACAAGTGTGTCAAATTTAACCAGATATGACTCGTAACTGTACAATTCTTATAATATTACGCAATAGCTGTTGACCGCAACTTCGTCCGCGCGGAATTAAAAAGAAAACTAAATAAGTAGCCTATATGTTCTTCCAGACTATTTTCTAAATCTATCCCAGATTTCGACAAGATTCGTTCAGCCGTTCTGAAGATGCCTTCAAACAAACATCTATCCATCCATCTAAACATTCACATTTATACAAGAGATCATTGACTTTGTATGAAACAGTCATGTTTTAATTATTATTAGGATTTTTTAGTTACAATTATATATGTATTACATCATAAGATGAGGCGAGTGAAAGGTGTTAGGACTGCGCTAAATGGAGGTCCATGGTCTCTGCCTACCCCTGTGAGATGTGGGTGTAAATTATGTTGTTGTATTAATTAGATATATTTTGTTTGAATATATTAATTTAAATTTTTTTATTGTTTTGGGTTGCTAAGAAATGGTTTTATTTATTGCTAGCTGTTGCCCGCGTGTTCGTCCGCGCGGAATTAAAAAAAGAAAACTTAATAAGTAGCCTATATGTTCTTCCAGACTATGTTCTATATGTATGCTAAATTTCATTGAGTTTAGTTCAGTCGTTCAGAAAATACCTTCATACAAACATCCATCCAAACATTCGCATTTATAAAATTAGTAATATTATTTTCGAAGTGATCTTTTAAGAGTTTGAAGAAATTATTAGCTTTTCTTACGAAATATGTCACCGGACAATGATTGTATGTCAAATTATATATTTAAATAGCCATGGTTATTGTTGCTATTCTAAAGGTTAAGCAATGCATTGAACAATGGAAATGATTTCTTTACGACCGTCCTTTAGGGTTTGCTTCTTACGAAACTATTGCAAATGAAACTACTAGGGAATGCATATTGCAGTTAATCTTACTAATATTATAAATGCGAATGTTTAGATGGATGGATGTTTGTTTAAAAGTATCTCCAAAATGGCTTCAAGGATCTCGATAAAATTAGACATATAGCTTGAGCATACTCTGAAAGAAAACATAGGCTATTTTTTTTAATTTTGCACGAACAGAGTCACGGGCGACAACTAGTATTGATATACAGTTGAAAATGAATAAGCAAGTATACCGATGGATGACTACAATAAGGGAGACACTTGATTTAGTGAGAAGCCTAATCGAGAAAAATGTCGCTGTCTCTTGGACTATCGCTTATACACGTTTGACTGTACATAAATATCTAATATACTGGTATAGCTAAGCAAACTTCACCTCTTTGAAGAAAATGCTTCAAACTATTTAAAAGGTAAGCGTTTCTGTATGTAAGAATTCGTTTTTTTTTTTAATAACGGGGTCAGCAATAAATTGAGCGCCTGTGAAAAAAATGTAACTGTCTTGATTAAACTTTGCTATTAAAATTACTTAGACACTATCTGCTTTAAAACATTCATTTAGTTAACGAAAAAATATCTATTAAAAGATCGATTTTTAGCTTTCGAAGTTTAAAATTATCCTGAAATATTAATATACTATTTTAAGATAGTGTTCTAGACGTTATATGAGTAATAATTTAATTTAACGGATGAATTTCAATTGTTATTATCCAGTGCTATTAAAAACTTGACCAATGAGGGACTCGAATAATATCTATAAATGATAACTACGCCTGGGTCGCTGAGATCAAAACATTTTTTGTCTGCATTTTTATAAAGCCCTATTCACACGAACAAATAAACAATTATTATAATAATCAATTTTTAATGTACAAGTGGAAGCAAGTGATTACGAATGCTAATAAAAACTTGACTAAAATTTAAAACTACATCTTTAAAATAAATGTAAGCGGGATTCTAACCACAATTAGTCTGTTGGATTGTTACTTATTTCAGCTCCAACAGGCAACAAAGAAGAAAAGAAAAGATTGAAAAAAAATTGACAATCCTGTGTCTTACGGGTATTGTGTTAATCTATCTTATATATATATAAAAGAAAGTCGTGTTAGTTACACTACTTATAACTCAAAGACGGCTTTACCGATATGGCTAAAAATTGATGAGGAGGAGCTTAGAGCCAGGAGACGGGCATAGGATACTAGTCATTCCTTTTTTTTAATTTATACCACGAAGAGCTGCATTTATTTAACTTATCTATATATTATTATAAGTTTTTTTTTATGAATGAGGACGGAGTCGCGGGCGATAGATAGTATGTAATAATTATTTCATCATTCTTGTTTATTTAATTTGTTTTGGCTCCCCTATCTGTCCTTATCTCATACTAGAACGGTTGGCGCACATTTTCGGATTGATCTATTCTTCTTAATTTCAAATAAAAAGCTATCATATAAAATAAAATCTCTAGTTACTACTACTTAAATATTAAAATGTTGTTTTGGTCCTATCTTAATAACAGTGTAAACGTACCTTAATATCGTATAATCATCGCAAATGTTAACACGGTTATTATGACGTCAACAAATAAACTTATGACCAAGTTTACTCTACTTTTTTATTTTGTTTTTAAATGCAATGAAGTGATGAAGGTTTTACCAGTGTTTGTTATTGTTGGCTTTTGTTTCACAAATATTTATACCGATAGACTTGATGAACGTTTTCGTCTACTTTATTCAGATGCAGTAAAATGTAAGTAAGAACGTTAACAGTTCGTATATAATTTTTTTTTTTAAATATCAGTAGTTTTTCTTTTGTAAATTTACTAATATTTCTTTTACCATTCCAACTAAGCTCTAGGCTTTGCTAGGAGATAGTTTACAATAGTCGAATGGCGGGAATGTTGAATATTGTTTTGGTGTTTTTTAAAAACAGTAAATAGTCGATTGGACAATCGCGATGCGTGCTTTTAGTATGCCCACAACAATCACATCTCACGATGTTTTAGAATTGTTTACTTCTAAATAGTCAGGTCAATTTTGGTTTCTAATTTCGATTGAATATATGGAGGTCTGCATTTGTCCTTGCAGGTCTATGATTTTAAAATAATGAATACCTATATAGAGTAACAAATAAAAGTTGCATTTGGGTTGCTCTGTTTTCACAAAGACTGGCTGTCACCCGCGACTTTATCTACGTGGAAATAGGAAAAAACTTATTAAGTAGTCTGTGAGTTCTTCCAATGTTCTATATGTATGCCAAATTTCAGCGAAACCCGTACAGCCGTTCTGTAGATATCATTAAATAAACATCCATCCATCCAAACATTCCCATTTATAATATAACAAGAGGCATGACGAATACAAGGATTTTGGTCTTAGAAATCAATGAGAAGCTTACTGTTACCTGTATTTATATTATTTTCAGGTAATTTTGACAAAACTCTAGATCTACAAGTCGGTGAAACGAAAGTGTACTTTTATGATTTTAGTAAAGACATTAATATTGTGTGCAAAATAAATTCAGGTGTTGATTGCATCACAAATACAACAAGTCTTGATATATCTAGACGGCTAATAGTGTTTGTGCCGGGATACAAATGTTTTATCAAACGTGATATTGAAGAGTTGGTAAGACAAACGTACAAGACAATTCCTGATATATATTTAATAATTATTGACCATTCTGCATATACTTATGAGACTAAAGAAAAATTAAGGAGTTACGAAAGATCTGTTCTTTATTCTTTTTATATCGGGAACGGGTTAGGTAAATTTTTAGCTGGCTTCAATAGATATGGTTATCCTTCAAAAAATATTCATTGTATCGGACATAGTTTGGGTGCCCATATTTTGGGGTATGCTGGAGAAAGGTACAATGTAGAGACATCAGAGAATGTATGGAGAATTACTGGTTTAGATCCAGCAGGTCCTTGTTTTGCAAACGCTTCAAAGGAAGAACAACTAAGGTCTGGGAATGCGGGTTTTGTAGATGTATACCACTGTAACGCCGGTCAATTGGGAACGACGAATGCTATTGGAGATGCGGATATATTTTTTAACAAACAAGGAAAAATACAGCCGGGATGTAAAGGTAACGTGATCCCTCTAAAAATATATATGCTAAAGATTTTAATATTTTCAATTTACTTTTTTCTTTACTGTATTTTTTGTTTGTTGCCTCTCCCCAGGTCTTAGTGACGAAGATCTAGCTAAATGCTACCACAAGGCTTGTATACTGTATTGGACTATATCTGTACTGAGATCCCACTTTTACCAGGCTGTCGCATGTCCATCATATGACGCCTATATCGCTGGCAGTTGTACTACAAACACGACTCCGATTGGACATTTGACAGTCGCTGTCAAGGGAATATTCTACGTCACAACTGAATCTAAACATGCTACCGACCAGTTGTGAACTTCATCATTTTGTAATCGGAAAAGGCATTTTACTCTCAAACACGTACGTTCAGTCGACATGTTTACAATGTTTTAGTAACCGTGGGTTTCTGAGAACCAATTCTCTGTAAAACATATCGTCATCCCTCTCATTATTTGACAAAACAGAGATAAAAATATGTTTTATACAGAGACATTTCTGTCAGAAACCAATGGTAAATTATTTAACTCGTTGAAATCAGTGGTTATGTACAAATATCACTAAAAATTTGACAAAATTTTAGTTAAAATAAAATATAGTTTATATTTTAGTAATAACAAGATATTTTCTTGAACTTTTTTATATGGTGTCCGATAACTTTAAGCGTTTAAAAACTAAGAAAGGCAAGTTTGTTTAGTGGTGCATGAAAACTTAATGAAAGAAGGTAATTTTATTTACATTTTTATTTACTCTTATTGCTTTTGTAGAAATAAATATGAAAGCTAAGTTAAAACAAATTGAATATATATCTATAATTCTATTCGTTCGTTATGAAAACGATTAGGAGCGCATGCACTTTGTGTAGCTTCGCAGGTCTTTGCGTTTCTTATGCAGCGTGATGTGATTATATTTTCTTACAAGTACAGTGACAACAGGCTGGTAACTTTACCTTTATTTCTTCAAAATCGCTTTCACCTTTGGTTACCAGAAGATTGGCGGTGACGTAACTCTGTTTGCAGTACGAGACAATATAATGAGGTAGGAATCCGTAATTTTGGCATTTTTTATATGGATTCCTAAAAAAAATATCTAATATTAAATCTTAATATTTAATTCTTTTAAAAAATTATAATACTTACTATTATAAATGTGAAAGTTGTTTGCATATATTTTGTAGTTTTGCAATTTGTTTCACGATGTATTTTGTACGTACATATTGTATGTACATTTTAAATGCGAAAAACACATTGGAACATGGTGGGGATCGAACCCTGATTACTGTGCCGCCGATACACTTTATACTATAACCAGCTGTCGTGCCTATGTGTTCTTCTAGATTATGTTCTATATTTATGGCATTAAGCATCCACTTCCAAACTTTCGCATTTTAATAAGATTTGGTACTATGGTGGTGATTTGGTGATATGTCTACGAATGTATTTACGTATTAAAAAAAACGTACGTACTTGCAGACTTTCATATGAACGATTTGTCGGAAGTTATGTTCGGGCGCCTGCACCACCAACCGCCAAATATTATTTTGATCTTTAACCATGGACAATGGGTTAATCTGAAATTAATATGAAGTATTTATAAATAATTCTAGACCTTCATATAGTACATATTAGCTGTTTCACTCTGTCACGTGGTAAAAATTACAAGCAATTAAAAGATGGAGGAGATGAATGGAAAGAAGGAAACCAAATTTAAACGACACAATGTGACTAAACAATGTTGGATTATATTTATCCCTAATAGAATCGACAAAACGTGTCAAAATGTTTAGGAAAAAGACGTAACATATTGAAGGTATTGTCACTTCTTTTAGACATTATTAATTAGAATCCTTTGGCGCGAGTGCGCTTTCGTTACAAAGTCAAGTGTCAGAACGATTAGTGAGGGGACAAAAACGTCGACATTTTAGAACGGCTAGTGTTGCGTTAATACACAGGCACAGAGTCGGATTTTCTTCCTAATACTTCCATTTATTTTTGATTTTTCGATTAGCAACATCGCTAATCGAATGTTACTTTGTCTAGCCTCCCTGTTAAGTACGGCGGGTAAAACCTTAAAATAACAACATCTAGCCTTACTTCTTACTAATATTATCAATGCTAAAGTTTGTATGGACCTTTCTAATCAAGTAACTCCAGAACATCTGGACAGATCTGGATGAAATATGGAACTAATATAGCGGATGGAATCGCAGTTGACATAATATTTTTGATAGTCAAGATTACCTCTGAAGTACTTTCACAGGCGTCGTAATCCTCTTCGCCGACTCTGTTAGCGAGGTTTGGGTCAACGTACAGAAGTGATGGTTGTGAGATTACAGTCTGTGGAAATAAATACAATTAATCATAATAGCGGGAGCGTTGGTGGCTCAGTGGTCAAGCATTTGACTTGCAATCTGCAGGTCTTGGGTTCGAATCCCGCCATGTACCAATGTGTTTTTCGATTTCCGATTTTCATATGTACATTTATCCGACGTTCTTACGGTGAAGAAAAACATTGTGATGCAACCTGCACATATCTGAGAAGAAATTCAAAGATATGTGTGAAGTCAACCAACCCGCACTTGGCCGGCGTGGTTGACTATGGCCTAATCACCTTTAACTTAGGGTAGGCTCCGAGCCCCTCGGTGGGTACGTATGGTGGGCTGATGATGAATCATAATAGAAGATTATATGAAACATATATTTTTTATTTTTCTTTTATTCTTTAATACAGAAGTAAGTAATGTATATATATATATATATATATCACATAATTGACTAGTTGTTTGATTGACATTAGGTATGTTAAGTACCATACTATTATTAGGAAGAAAAGCTGACACTGTACTGGTGTATCGGCCCAACACTAGCCTTATTAAAATATCAACGTTTATGTCCCCTCACTAATCAATCTGACATTTGACTTGGTAACGAAAGCGCGCCACTCGCGCGCAAGGAATCCAACTAATATTATCCAAAACTATATACCAAAACACCACTAATATTTAGTAGGATTGCGATCTGGTGCTGGTTGAATGGATGTTTGTCTGTAGATATCACCAGAAAGGCTTAATGGATCTTAATGAAATTTGGTATAAATAGAACACATAGGCTGCTAAATAAGTTTATTAGTTAGTAGTACGTAATATTTCGTAGAATTTTCGATATTAACCTACTTTATTTTCAAACAATTTGTTGAATCGTTCTTGTGGATAATATTTGGGCATGATGGTGCAATAAGTCTTGTTAACACACTCCTTAGGTACGCGTATGATGTGGATCTCTGGCCAATAACTTCCAACATTACGTGGTTTGCCAAACACTCGTCTCAATTGTGATATATCTACAAGGACAAGAGAAACATATATTAATTTGAAAAAAATTGTCTTTCTTCTACTTGGCATATTTCATTACTGTAGGTCGTGCTCGTTTTGATATGCCTTTACGAATGCTTTGACCAGCTGCCTCCACGCCGTCCTTCAGCTTGCCTTAGGGCAGTTGTAATATTAAGTCCCAAATTAACCTGCACTTAATCGGACCAGCGGGGAGGTTACCCCGTGACCTTTAACCCTCTATCTTTCCAACCACAACCAATTTGTCCAGGTGTCAGGGTGTCTTCGGGCAATATATCCAACGTATCCAAGAACTCGTCGGTAGCATAATTATATAAAAAAATATTAAACATGTCACACTGACCTTGCATTGATACAATGCTGTATGTTAGCTGGATACAAGTGAACACAATCTGAAAGAAGATAAGTATATATAAAATCAAATTTAAGTTGCATACTGTGGTGGTGTGGTAGTTATATTTATGTGATTTTTTATTTGTAGATGTTTGTCTACTAATATTTATTATTAGGGGAACGTGTGTTACAGGAGATAGTGTATTCTCTTAAGTTTAATCTTAAATAGGGTATAATTTATGCAGTACTAGCGATCGTCGGAATTAAAAAAAAACATAATTAATTATTTATTCTTTCAGACTATGTTCTATATGTTTGGTAAATTTCATCAGGAAACGTACAACCGTTCAGGAGTTTGAAGTACATCCATTAATCTAAACATTCGTATTTATAATATTAGTATGATATATATATGTGTGTGGGTGTGTGTGTGTGTGCGTGGGTGTTTGAAAAATATTTCAAATAATAAAAAAAGTCTTACAATAAAAAGAGAAGTTATGGAAACCATAATAGCAGTGTTTCTTGTCTTGTCCTTTTGAATTTAAACGCCGCCACCGGACGTATATACGTGAGTGTTTAGCCGTGTTTATATATCAGTTTAGTATAATGTCTCACGAAAGTTTGAATAATTTAATAAACTATTGATAATTATAACAACTTGATTGTAACATAAATTTCAGCACATTTACACGTAGCAAAGCTTTGATTAACATTGAACCTAATTCTTTTAGCGGTATGCGTATATATATACTGAAACTTATTCAATATTTCCTGAATATAAATTAATCATACTTTACCGAAATTTTACAGGAAAAAGAAAAAAGAAAAAGGCCAGTTTATTAACATAATTAAATTAGAATAGGCCAGTAGATATTGGTGATACAACTGCTGTATTATTTTATCTAGCTGTCGCCCACAACTCCGTCTGTGCGGAATTAAAAGAGTAGTACTTTGTGTTCTTCCAGACTGTTCTACATCTATGTTAAATTTCAACGAGTTCCATGCAGCCGTTCTACAGATACTTTCTAACATTCATCAATACATCCAAAGATTCGCATTTATAATATTAGTAAGATTAATAGTTTAAAGTTCCAGATGACTGAAAGGGCTGAAATTTTGCAATCAAGTGTAAATAACATGATATGCAATATTATGATGACATAGTACTAATATAATGATGAAGCTAGAAGGTGGCTATAGGATGTTCGCAATGAAACGACATAACCTCATAGAGTTTGGGCTTATTTAATTTTGTTTACATTTTCATCTCTAAGATGCTCCTAGACATAAAAGTGATGCAAACCGTAGGTAACATTTAATTGCGGATATTTTTGCGTTGTTGTGCAACGGATTCGAGTCTTTTTTTACCTATGACGTTAGGGTTTCATTCATAATTTCCTTATGATTACGCTTTTGCACGCGACTTCGTCCGCGCAAAATTAAAAAGAAAACATATTATTCCTATGCGTTATTCTAGACTATCTATATGTATATTTCATCCAGATCCATCCAAAAATCTATGCAAATTTTCGAAATTATTATATTAGTAAAATTAATATCTACAATCAATTACTTAGAAGTATTTTTAATCAAATCAATAAGCCCGATAAAATAATATATTTCGATAATTAGACGTATACTATAGAAAAAAAATATTCTTTTCTTACACTAAAATAGACAAGGAAACAATCTAAATTGAAGTATAACACAATATATTAATGTTACAATTTCATTCATGAAAAAAACATATTGTCAAACCAGTCCAACTCACCCTGATGAACGGCCCTCGATGGGCTCAAAATTAGTCGGTGCCGCTACCGGAGTGATAATGAGCGATACGTGAGTATTAAGCCGTTTTTATATCAGTTTATTATAATGTCTCACGAAAGTTTGAATAATTTAAAAACATATTGTCATTTCTAAGACGTAAAAATATGAACGGATAGTCCGACAATGCTCAACAACGGTTTTACATGACAAAAACTGATGTCGCCGCGCCGTCTGAGGTTACGCTTCACTTATTTCCAACTTTGTTTCATTTGGGTTTTTAAAATACAATCAAATATTATAAATTATAGATAGAGATATAGAGACAGATAGATAACGAAGCAGCAAGAAGGAAAATAACTCTTATTTTTGGATTTCGTACCAGGAGACGGCAACCATTTTGACATTAATCAATAAAAATCTAGTTTTGACTATAAAAAATACATATAAGAAATGATTTACAATAATCGCAGAAAATATAACAATGTGTTTAGTTAGTTTTAAATAATACATAACTAAAATATATTTTATTATTTATAATATATCTTTTCTCAAAATTTGGCGACAAAAGTTGGTAACTTAAAATTAAACAACGATCCAACCTCTCCTTTAAAATCAATTCTCACTTAAACTACTCCTAGTACTCGTAATACCTTCAATGTACTTTGTACCTAGAAGTCAGAGGTATCCATGACTAACAACTATGTTATGGTATTTGCGGTGGTCTGCTTTTCATTGACGTCTCTGCGATCCTATGACGTAAACGTGCATAACATATTACATGAACAGGGAATAAACAAGGCAAATAAATAGTTCATTAATTGATTAATATTTATCCTGTTGGCATTATCGAGAAGAGAATGAATGAATGAAGGAACGGAATATGAGAAAGACGGGGAGATAATAGAGATGATGCTGACTCTGTCTGATCATTTAACAAGAAGCATTAGAATATATATTATTCTTAATAATTTTGAACAAATGTAACGCATAGAAGTATAGTAAGCTGATTAAGTAGGAGAGGGTTAAAGTAAATGAAATCAGTCGTATCTTTTTCTATGCCTCCAAGAAGTTCTTCTGACTAGCAGAGGAATATATACATAGGAAAGATTGCGACAAAGGTCTAATCCGGTAATAATAACGAAGTAACGACCCGAGCCGAGGTTCCTGAGGGAATCCTTGAGCTTAGTTACTCTTAAACGAGGTTTAGGCTAACATCTGCGTTCGGCCACTTCAAGCCCGGTGTAACTATAAATGCCTCCTCAAGGCAAATAGTTACAATTCAGTCACAAAAAAGTGCCAAAAGTAAATTAAATATATTTAGTCATCGCCAAGTACAAAATATTACTGTGGTTAATTCATTCAGACACCACCAAAAATAGTGAATTTAAATGCGGTTAGTGGTTTTCTTATCAGTATGAAAAAATGCTTGATTCAAAACTAGGATTTTAGACAAGTCGCATGGCGAAAACACGGTAAAGTAATATTTTTTTAATAGCTGATTATATTAAACTAGCTGTCGCCCGCGACTCCGTCAGCGTGGATGTATAAAAAACTGAATTATTGTAGCCTATGTGTTCTTTCAGACTATGTTCTATACATATGCCAAGTTTAATCGATTTCCGTTCTGCCATTCTAGAGATATCTTCAGACACCCATCCATCCATCCACATCACATCCATCTAAACATTCGCATTTATAATATTAGTAGGTTAAATAAAAAGCAGATCTTCAAGACATAAATTCGAAAAAAAATGAACAAATAGTATCCTATGTCTGTCTCCTAAGATACCTCCTCATCAATTTTCAGCCATATCGGTAAAGCCATTTTTGAGTTATAAATAGTGTAACTAACACGACTTTCTTTTATATAAAGATGAATGACAATCGTGCTAATTATAACCTTTCTGTCCCAGTGTTCAAAAGTTAAACTAAAATAAAACAAAAGCATAATCACTCCTTTTCAATTTCGAAAAATTGTTATCTCATCTCTGCTCCTTTCCCTTCACTTGCATTGACTTTCTTTCGCCCATAACTATCCCCTTTCATGCAATCCCTTTATACTTTCTTGGATTATTCTGACATCTTTGATTATGATTTGACTAGCTGTCGCCCGCGATTCTACATGCGAACATAAACAACATAATAAGTAGCCTATGTGTTCTTCCGGACTATGTTCAGTACGTATGCCATATTTAATCAAAGTCCAGCCGTTCTGGGAATACCTTCAAACAAACATCCATCCATGTCACATTTATAATAGTAGTTAGATTTCTTTGTTGTCCTCCTTATCTTTTGTCATATGTCAATACCATTCATATCATGGTAAAAGTAACCTAAAAGGTCTTTATGAATTAACGACTGCGGTGCAGTAAGTTATTCGTGAAATTGGGAAGACACTTCTTGCACATGTTAGAGGAAAATTGAGATTTACAATTCTTACGTAGACGCTTATCCTGATGACGTTTGTCCCTTACTACAAAAGCTATAAGTCTTGTACCAATGTACCAGTCTGTTACTGTCAGTTGTCATTCAGACCTTGAAGTGAACGGACGCGTTTGTGCATTTGCACCAAGTAATTTTTGTATCGTCTTCACTATAAAGAAAATGGCAATAGCACTAGCGATTTTCATTGTAAGTTTTTTATTTTCTTTTTTTATTACTTAAAGAAAATCAGATGAAAATTATTGCGTTGTATCGTTCAGATCTTTGTTGTTTATTTATATTTATGTTTGTATCACGTTTATTTATAATTATATTAGCCTTGAAAATCACGTGTAATCGCTATTGTAGGTGTTTGAGTATGATTTAAAGATTATCGTAAATTATTCCCTAACTAAAATTTTCTTAATATTATCTATTTTTTTTGGTATAATTAGTTTTAAAGGTTAAAAACTCTCTAAACCTATTTCAGAACTAAATCGTTAAGAAATTTAAGTAATTGTTAAACGTCTCTTTAACAAATTGAAAGTCAATACACAATTCTGTACAGATTTGATTGTACCAAAAAAAACTAAACTTTAAGCAAATATCAATAGTTAATTTCGTTGACAATTTATCGTCAGTTTACAATATAACTTGTGCGTTAATCTAAAGGTAAAATTAATATTATCGTATCGGAGAAATTGATCTACGGGTGAAATGTTGAAATGCAAGTTTGCACCGTATTTAGCCTTATTGCGTTTCTCTTACGATTTACTAAATTAGAAAGCGGTTATTATAAACATGTTACAAACACACAGTTAAATCTTATATGTAAAATTTCTCGTGTCACAATGTTAGTTACCATACTCCTCCGAAATGTCTTGACCTATGTTTATGAAATGTTATATGCATATTCAATAGGCGTGAGAATCGGCTACTATCCATTTTTTAATCCCACGCAGAAGAAGTCGCCGGCAACAGATAGTATTCACATATTTCTTCCAATCCAAAGCTAATATGTTTTTGATCTTAGAAACCACGTATTTATCGCTAAAAGACTTTTTCTCACATAACCAGATAACATTCATCATCATCAGCTCACTATACATCCCCACCGAGGGGCTCGGAGCCTACCCTAAGTTTAGGGTGATTAGTCCATAGTCAACGCTGGCCAAGTGCGGGTTGGTTGACTTCACACATATCTTTGAATTTCTTGTCAGATATGTTGCAGGTTGCATCACGATGTTTTTCTTCGCCGTAAGAACATCAAATAATTGTACATATGTAAATCGGAAATCGAATAAACACATTGGTACATGGCGGGATTCGAACCCAGGACCTGCATATTGCAAGTCAAGTACTTGACCCCTGAGCCACCGACGCTCCTATATTAGATCCATAACATTAGCTACACATAAAAATATGATAAAATAGATTATCTTACTAAAGAAAGAGAACAAATCAATTTAAAAAAATGCTAGTAATTAACAAAACAAAAGGAAGATCTGTGTTCTTTGTCTTTAATTACTTCCTTATAAAGGTTCTTTGCAAAAAATTGAAATTGTCTTCGCGCTTACGAGCGAATTCGTTATAATGATTTTTAAAGTCAAATTAAAATGTATTAAAACCAAGCACTTTGGAGAGTGAGTTCTCTGAACTATCTTCATTATGAAATTAAAAAAAAAATGGCGTCAATTTCTTTTGGTTATATTTAACACGTTCAGAGCCAAAGGCTCGCCTGGCGAGTTCAACTCGACACCTAAATAACCATAGTAGCATAGAACGTGTTTAGCAACCATAATACAAATCTGAGAACGTAAACTGGTTCTTCGGCAACAAAAATTACAATAATCATACCGACACGACTGTAAACATACGAAACTGCTTTTGTCTCGTCTGGCGCCGGCATAATGTTAAGGCCATTCTTGAAATGTTTTTTTTTTTTAATGAATGTTGCATTGGCACAAAAGATATTCGGCCGTTTTATTTTTCATTCACAAGAAATCGACTACCTCTTTCAATTCTTTTTTTATAATAAAAGGCTGGAAAAGGGAAGAGGACTAAAATTTAGCCTACGGCACTCCTCGTCTCTCGGACAAACGGGCAACAGATGTTAGAATTTTCAATATTAAATTATTCATTTTAATTTGAAACCACATGTCACTTCGGATTAAAATGACGAATCACATTAAAAATGTTTCTTAGTACAAGAGAACAATGGCATCAATTATTATGACAAATCTTACTTCTTACTTTACTAATGTAAATGTTTGAATGAGTGTTACAAAGTACGGTGAAACGGATCTCAATGAGATTTGGATGAAATTGTAAAGAATTCTGCTAAGAAATTCTCTCAAAGGTTTTTCTTTTCCTATTTAAAAAAAACACATTAACTATGATTTTATGCTGATATTTCATGCCATGGAAGGATTAAAACAATACTTTTTTGAGTTGAATTTAATTTACTATCATTTACAATTATTTACTATTAAATTTGCTGTTTGTTAGTCTCACTAAAACTCGAGAATGGCTGAACGGATTTATCTTATCTTGGTCTTGAAATGTTCGTAAAAGTCTAGGGTAGATTTGAAGAGTGAGAAAAATTTGAATGATTACTGAGAAAACTCTAAAAGCAGCCGCCTTCTTTTTCTTGGCATAGTAAAGAACATAGTCTGTAACATAGGCTAATAAATATATATTTTTAATTACGCAGACGGAGTTGTAGGTGACAGCTAGAATAGATAAATATCTTGAAATAGAGCTAAAAATCTTATAGACATATTGCCGTTAGTTGAACAATCGGAATATTATTCTTTATATATGTGTTAATTTAACTATACGCCGATAAACAGTTCATAATTAGTGATGAAGTTTATTTCTACATATAAGTTTAGTAATAATGTAAGTAGTGCTAATAATAAACAGGTGCTAGGCGGAAAATTGTAGGAACGATATGTAGTTGATTTAGTCCTTTACATGATTTAAATCATATAGATGATTTAAAAAAAAACTAGATTAATTAAATTATAGTATTTCATTAAAAAATGTGACGTAACAATTGCAACACAATCAAATCTTACTTCTTACTAATATTATAAATGCGAAAGTTTTGATGGATGGATGTTTGTTTAAAGGTATCTTTAGAACGGCTGAACGGATCTCGATGAGTTTCGTCATACAAATAAAACATAGACTGGAACAACACATAGGCTACTAATCATGTTTTTTAAATGCTGCGCGGACAGATTCGCGGGCGACAGCGAATTGGCTAGATTTGTGAAAAGCGTTTGATACAGTACATACTTCATTTCGAGTTTGGATTAAATTTTTAGGTGAATAAATTGTCAATCATTGATCTATACAATGTTACTCCATGAATCGTTACAATCAGCCGTGCGTGTCGACAGAGACATCGTGACTCACGTACTAATTGAACGGGGAGTTCGCAAGGCACTATTCTGAGACCACTGGTATTCCCCTTTGATGTAGACGTATTACATAAAACGTTGTCCAATTATTTAATATCTAACATCAAAAAGCATTGCTTCAATTACAAGTATCTTGTAATGAATATGCGTGGAATTATTTATTTTATCCGTATAACTAAAATGGCCTACATTACGTCCTTTTCCTCAACAGTAATAACTAGCGTTGCTATGAATCTCTTACTTTTGATCGTACATTTATGGACGATGCTTAATCGCTTAGTTAATATTATAAATACATAAGTAATTCTCTCTAACCAAGCAAAGATCAGCTTATGGTGGCGACACCGACTAGTTCACACGACGGGCTGCGTCCGCGAAATAATACCAGTCCCACTCACCCTAATAAAGGGCCCCCAATGGGCTCGAAACTAGTCGGTGCCGCCACCGGACGAATATACGTGAGTGTTTAGTCGTTTTTATATAAGTTTAATATAATGTCTCACGAAATTTTGAATAATTTAACAAGCAAAGATCGTTACGTTTCGATACCAAAACAGGGTTGTGAGGATTGAAAGGGGAGATGAGAAGTTGTGAAAATGTCGACATTTTAAGAGCTAGAAGCTTAAAACTTATATTTTAGTCTGTTATACGATGTAAATAAATATAAAATTCAAATTTTGTAAAAGTATTACCCTCAAGGAAAGCAAAGAAAAAAAGTGAATAGGTAATAAAATCTTTAATCATTAATCTATTTTAGCTTTAAAAGCTGAAGTCTCAACTTTTGTTACCAAAATTAAATTTTCGTTCATTATTCCTCAGGTCAGTGTTGCTAGCCTGCAGATGACAACACCGGCTGTAACTAAAAATGGTGAGTGCTTATTCAATCTTCTATATATAAATCTATCTATGTTTCTTATGCATTACAAAGAGACCCTTCATATAATAAACTACTCAGAATACAATAAAAAACTATGAACATCAAAGCATCTTTATTAGTATGTTTTGTTGGATCTTAATGGTTGTTAAATCATACTAATATAAATGCGAATGTTTGGATAGATGGATGGGTGTTTGTTTGGTGGTTTCTCGGTAACGACTGTATGGATCTCGCTAAAATCTGGCATTAATATAGTACTATTAAACTAAACTACTACTTTTGTTTGTTTTTAATTCCTGGTGGAAAAAGTTGCGGCCAACCGCTATTTGTTTATAATTATCTGACTTAGTCCAATTCTAAAATATGCAGAACTGACTTTTATGAATATCTCATTTATTTACAGTTGCTGTAGATACACCACCAATTGTTTTCCCCGGGCCTGTGGAGCCCAATGACCTGAAAAAGGTTAAGCCAGAGGAACCAGAGGAGTGTAAGGGAAAAACTTATTGCCTCGTCAGACCTGCAGACTTTCCAGAAGATGAATTCAACGAAATGTTCAAGGACGCGGTAAGTTCAGTCAGAGATATGAAACTCTGATTTATCACTTGATTAGTGAACTCCATGTCTATTTAATTTTACCTAAAAAGACTCGACAACTTTGAACTATAGAAATAAATATTTAAATATGGTGAATATAGACGGAATAGAAATGAAGGTTGCAACAAACGAGTGGATGGAGGGAAAGTACGTTAAACCTACGTAAAGTACAAAAATAGTGGTATGAGGATTTAATGAAAAGAATCTATTCTAATACTAGCTGTCGCCTGCTACTCTAAATAAGCCTATGTGATCTTCCAGACTATGTTCTACATCTGTGCCAAATTTCCTCAAGATCTGTTGAGCCGCTATGGAGATACCTTCAAACAAACATCTGGCTTAGTAAATTCAATGAATATTTATTTCAGAATATAGTTCCTCAACCATCTCTGGTGCTGGATAACATGTTGACAAACCGTCAAGGTGATCCAGAGGAAACAGACGACTGCGATAGTGATGTTGAGGTAATATATTAACTACTAGTTGTCGCCCGCGACTCCGTCCATGCGGTATTTAAAAAAAAACCTAATTTGTAGCTTATGTTCTTCCAGACTATGTTTTACATGTATGCCAAATTTCAACGAGATCCATACAGAAGTTCTGGAGATATCTTCAAACAAACATCCGTCCAAGCATTATCGTTTATAATATTAGTAAGATATCTTAAATTAAACAATTGTGTTGAATGAAGCAATGATAGCTTTCAAGAGCATGGACTAATGAAGTCGTAGACTTGAATCAACCATTCCACCTCTTGAACTATTTAAATGAAATTTTTGGCCAACTAGATTGGTTATCTATACTATTTGAAATCAATGTTTTAGTATAATAATATATTTGTTACAGTATCGTCCATTATACCAAGTCCGTGGAAAGCGTGATGACGATTGGAGCTATGTAGTTCAAGCGCCTAAGCAAAACTTCGTCCAGAGAGTTCGTTTGGAAACCTGCAAGTAAGTTCATCGACCTTATTACTTTTGTCAAACATAATTCATCTATGATTTGCTCCAATATCTCGCTCATTGTGTAAATACTAGCTGTCGCCCGCGATTCCGTCGGCGCGGAATTAAAAAAAATATATAATTAGTAGCCTATGTGTTCTTCAAGGCCATGTAATTATGTGCCAAATTTTAACGAGATCCGTTCAGCCATTCTGGAGATACCTTCCCACAAATATCCATCCATCTAAACATTCACATTTATAATATTAGTAAGATTGTATTCTCTTTACTGTAATTATTAAGATTTTTGTATTTTTTTTCTGTTTTTAGGAATACCGAAGCGTCTTGCTTTAACGCTCTTCATTTAACATCTGACATCAAGACGTCTTGTAAACAGAAATATAATAAATGGGAAGTGTTGGTAAAGAATGATAAAAATGATACGAAAACAATAACAGTAGAATTGCCAGTTTGTTGCTCTTGTGTTTATAAAACCACATCTTTTCAAAACAGATTTGGCATTGACAAGAAAATGACCACCGCCAAAACACCAGCGAAAGGTTAATAAACATAGCCAGGCTATTATAGATCTTATCATCATCATCAGCTCACTATACGTCTTCACCGAGGGGCTCGGAGCATACCCTAAGTTAAGGGTGATTAGGCCATAGCCAACCACGCTGGCCAAGTGCGGGTTGGTTGACCCGCACTTGGCTAGCCATAGGCCTTATATCATGATTTTAATATTGAAACTATGAATATATTGTATTTTGTAATAAACTCTCTATTTTTATTTTTAAGTAATTTAAATACGAACCAAAAAGGCTACTCTAAAGTTTAAATGATATTTCAAATTCGATATAAGTTTGTAATTAAAATTTAATTCTTCTCATTTTATGTAATAAAAATAATAAATAATTGTAAATCACAAAAAACAGTTGAATAAACAAAATATCATATCAATCTAAAGTATTCAATTAGAGCCATCTCAATTTTAAATACTAGCGTTTAATTTTAATACGCAAAATTTATAATTGTACATGATGTCCCAAAAGGTTACGTACATAGGAATGGGGATGATAGGGGTGGTCACAAGGGTCACCAGAAAAATAAAATAAAAATTCCCCTCTGGGTATTAAAAAAAATAAATGGCATTTTTTAAAAACCTAAAAATTTTACATCTTCTGGGGCAATTTTAATTTTCTTTAAAATCTTTGTTAGTTGTATTGTTTTTTTTTTATTTCATATTGATAAAGGGTTATTAACGATAACATAATAGCTTTTTTTTTAAATATAGCAATATTTGTAGGTCATCGGTTACAAAATTGCCCCAGAAGGTGTAAACTTTTTAAGTTTTTACAAAATGCCATTTATTTTTTTAATACCCAGAGGGGAATTTTTATTTAATTTTTCTGGTGACGTACGTTACCTTTTAGGACAACCTGTATTATTTTTTTCCGTTCATATAAAATAAGGATAAAATTTTAATCTTTAATCGTTTAAGTTAAGTTAATAAGACATGTCACGGATTTGTTTTCAACTCTAAATTAAAATACTAGTCACCAATTTTTGTTAAAAATATTAATAAAATTTGCATCAAGTATCCTTCGTTCTTTTATTTATACTTTGGGTTTTTGTTCGAATGCCATGTTTATCGCAAACCAAGTGTGATAAAAGACTAATTAAAAAATATATGTAAGTATCAAAGTGTAGCTTCATTTTGTTTCAACAATTATTTAAACATTCATAACATAAACAAAATTTTTAAGAAAAAAAATAAAGCCGACTTCATAAAAAACATTCGCAAACAAATAAAAACATACTGTAACAAAAAAAAAACATTCTTAAACGAAATGCACTAAAAACTAACAAAATAATGTCAAGACCAAACACATCTGAAAGTGATAAATTTCTTTTCTAACTTGAGATGTGTCTATACTTTAAAATTATTGTTATTTCTGAGTCGGTTTCGGCCTGATGTCATACACCTTTTTACGTTTAAAGTCCTTAGACCGTAACCTGTAGTAACACACATAAAAAAGAGAAAAGGGACATACAGAAGAATTTATAACCTCCTTTTTGAAATGGGCTAAAAACGATCTACATCGAGACTAGTTATTTAAAAAACTTTTAACTCTAAAACTACTTTTCTATGTAAAACTTGTCTAGCTTATTGAGAATAAAACAAGTTTCACGATTAGACTAATCTCAAACTTTCACTAAACGCAAAACGCAGTAAATCTTTGGGCTTTTAAGGAACTGCTTTTTATATCCATCTACAATATTATGGCCATCCTACTAATATTATAATTGTATCATAACTTTAAAACACCTGAACAGATTTTAATGAAAATTGAACAGAGATACATAATCGTAGGTAACTGTCTGAAATAACTCAGTTTTTATATTGTTGTTGTTGTTTTTTCCCGCCATTGTTTCTCGAGCCTACCGCTAGGACGAATTTATTGGAAAATGCTCCTATAGTGCGGGATATACGGATTCTCAATATCATATCTAGATATATAGATTTATTTAGTTTTAGCGAGACGAAATTCACAGAGGCTGCGTACAGATGTGTGGAAGACGTTTGAATATTTATGTTTAGTTACGCGTTGATATATTTTTGCACTGTTTATCTATTTTTTTTTGTCATTGTTGAGTGTTATTTACTGTTATTATAAAATATGTTATCGAGTTAACTATTATATAAAGTGTGTATAGTGTCAAATTGGTTGTATACTGTAAGGATGCACTGCAGTTGTTTTTAAATAAATGAATAAAAATAAATATTAATTCCACGCGGACAACATCGCAATCCATAGCTAGTGTGGATATATGAATTTCAACAAAATTTTCTTGCGACAGAAGTCTAAATACAACTTTAATGTAGCTCCGAGTTATAATAACATATTTAATAGTTAGATTTCACCTAACAAATTACTAATGAATTACGTATGTTTGTTCGATTTTTGTTTTTTTTTTTCAAACCGCAACGTTCTTTTGACAAGCTCACGTCATAATTCCTTCACAGTTATATGCAAATAATGACTGTACGCTAAAACAAACAAATTATTCATATATTTCTAGAACTATATAGCATATATGTCCGTTGCACATATTTGTTTAAAACAGGACTATGCAAACTGAGCACAGGTCCTTCGATTCTATACTCAAGAAAGAATTCATTTTACAAACGAAAATATGACGAAAGCAAATTTTTATAGGTTAAATTTAAAAGTTCAAATTATACTTTTAAATATTTTTTTGGACCTTTAATTGAAAAGTTTGACGACCTCTGGAACATTCCGACGTTGCCTTGTAAAACCAATTCTAAACTTTATGCATTTGTAAATAGAAGAAAAACTCTTTTCTTTTTTCAAGAAGCTTCTCTACATCAGGAATATTTTATTTCTGTGCGTCCCGTCTTCTGTCGATTAAAAGAAGACAACGCATCTGCAATTATAGCTGGCCGCTTGCTCGCTTGCCAGCTTCTAATAAAAAGAGAACAGTCCACATAAGATAAAATACGTTCATTTTTAATCTGCATTTTAATTTTTACTATCAAAATTACTACGTAGTTAATAATTAACTCGCATGCAATATTTTTGTAAACAAGTCACACATGCAAAGTTTTAACCTTAATTTACCGGTTTCACTAGTAAAGGACAACGACCTTTCACTTTTTCCATTAAATTTGTACTTTTCCTTAACATAATCTGTGCTATGTCTGCTTACATTGTTTGTTATATGTCATACTATCATACTAGCTTTCGACATCTACTTCCATCTTAATTAATTACAATGATACGAGAGGAAGAAACCAAGAGAAGGGTAAGCAAGAGCCCAGAGAACCGCTATGTTTCTCGCTTGCAAAGGTTTCTCTTTAAACCCGAGTTTCTCGCTTATCCAGATCGTACAACAGAACTGGACAATGACTCTCGCTTATAGAGGTTTCCCACTTATCTATTTCTTGTGTATCAAAGATCGATTTTAAAATAACAGGTGTGCTTAAAATAAATTCGCCAGTGTCGTTAAATGTACCACAATCGATGACCAATGTTAATATTGTCCCCACAATATTATACAAGCCAGGATGTTCAAATTAAATAATTGCCGCATTATTCAGACAGCACATAAATTAGTATACGTACTGTATGAATAAGATACTCTGATCATCTGCCACAATATCGAGGCTATCAGCCATACCAACAAAGAGTATAAGGTCTTTATGAATCTGGCCTAACACCTGTAAGGCTTACGGGATCCATTTTACCTATTTACGATAACTTAGCTTAGCTTTTGCCAGCGACTACTTCCGAGCGAAATAAAAATAAATCTTAATAAGTAACTTATATTTTCTTCCAGACTGTGTTCTACATCTATACCAAATCTTATCGAGATCCATTGAGCCATAACAAACTTATGGATGGGTGTTTGTTAGAGTATACATCTAGGAGTATACATCTAAACAAACACGTAGGCTATTGATGATCTCTTAACATACGTTTGATTTACTCGATTACTCCCCAACGCTTCAACATTGCTTATTGAAAAGTACAAATATATAACATAGTTACTCATGAATACATCTCACACTTTTTATTTGAAGTTGCGGGCTAAAGCTAGATTTTTTTCAAGCGAAGCTGGGACAAATAACTAGTATAAATACGTATTTCATAAGACCATGTGAATCATTGATTGATAAACAATTGATGTCATTGAATCGTATTTGTTTATACAATCATCTTTTTCATTATGACAAAAGGTTAAGCGGCAACCGGTTTTTTCTAGGTCATCAAACTATACTGGCCACAACTGTAAGGTTTGATCATCCAATTAATTAGGAGTCTAAAATTAGGCCTCCGACATGTACATTCGTAACATGAAACGTGGATGGGAAATTTAAAAACAAAATGATGATAATTATGTGACAGTAGTCAGATTTTGTCTCGAAGAGGCATTTAGCGTTTAACCTGGACCTCGTTTAAGAGTAACAAGACTCGAGAGCTCCCTCAGGAGCCTCGACTCGCGCTGTTACTTTGTTATTGTTACTGAATTGGGAGGCCACCGAGCTCTTAGATCGCCTAGGTGGACGGTCCATGCAGTGATTGGGCTCAAGGGCCACCGAGAGGGGACCTCGGCTTGGGCTGTCACTTTAGCTTTTCGATTCAAAGATGTCCGAGAGGGCCGAGACAATAATGTTTTGAGATACTTTATCAATAGTATCACTGATATATCTATCTCATTCGCACTCAAAATCTATGAATTATTAAATTTTTTGCCTGTTTCTGTAACCGAGAACATAGGTTCTCGGTCCAAATATGGATTTAAACACTTAATAAAATTCTTAATAACTGAGCAAAATAATCACTTTTAGTTCTTAATAAGGCAGTTATTAGAATCTTGGCAGGTTAATATAGTATTGTAGCATTTTAGAATCTTGATAAGTTGCCCCAACTTCTGTTATTAAGTGCCGTGGTACTCTTCATACATTTTTTTATACAGTAGCATGTCAAAATTAGTTAAAAGTTAAATTCTAAAATTTAAACTTTTAAACAGAGAGATTTGGATTTATTTTTATTTTTCCCCGTGTAGTTATCGATCTAGCTACACCATTACCGTTTTGTCGTTGAATTTTGGGACACGCTGTATAACTAATTGTACATGAATAGAATCAACATCAGTCACGGAAAATATATAAAAAAAAATCTATGTGGTTAATTACATTTTATTTTTTGTATTAACGCAAGCCAGTTCAGTTTTTAATGTGATGGCAATCATTATGAAATGGATATACCCAATAAAATACAAAAAAAAGTTATTAGGTGTTGCCCGCGACTTTGTCGTTGTGTAATTAAAAAAAGGAAAAACTAAACCTTAACCCCACAAAGATGAGGAATTAGAATGGAAGGTCCATTAAGATTTGTCTGTCTGTTTGTTAAGTCTGCGTTTGTCGGATAATCTCGGGTACAGCTGGACCGATTTTGACGGGACAATTAGTTAGGCTAATGTTTGCGGGAGTAATATAGGCTAATTTTTATACCAATTGGACGTAGTCGCGAGCTACAGCTAGTATGTCATAATAATTTTATATGAATACTTAAATGTTCCGATTTAAATGTGTACTAAATGTACATATGCAAATTGGAAATAGAAAAACACATTGGTACTTGGCGGGATTCGAACCCAGGACCTGCAGATTGCAAGTCAAGTGCTTAACCCCTGAGCCACCGACTCTCTATCTCTGAATTTCTTTGCCAATATTTAGGTTGCATCACGAAGTTTCCTTCAACTTAACATCGGGAAAATATAAGCACGTATAAAATTCCAAAATCGTAAAACACATTATCAGTATTCATAGCGTCGTCGTCAGCCGGTGGCGCAGTTGTTAAACACATAACAGCGCGGCTAGACAAAGTGCATTCGCTTCGAAGCGATTCCATAACGAACTTAAAAAATGTAAAACTGACAATAACTTTCGATAAGTCACGTGATTGTCGCGCGTCAGTTCTATACAATTTTGAAGTTCACTATGGAATCGCTTTGGACCGTAAGCTTAATCTAAGTTAGTAATACTTTGGGAAAACCTGCATTGTTCCGTGCATTTCTTTATATAGCATGCCTTATTGCTTATGTTTATTATTTCACTGTAAAATTATGTTAATTCCAAATACATACAATGTATGGTCTTTCCCTCACTAAGATCAAAAGTTTCCTTGAGTATTGCGTATACAGATTTTGGATTTTATATTCAATATCCTGTTTCCATTGTTTGCGTTCTGCATTTCCTAAAGCATCATACATTTATTAATTTAATAATAACTTTCAACGATTCGTTTGCATATAAACTAAAAATAGTACATGAATGTGCGATACTGAAGAGAAAACTCATACTAAAGTAAAATATAATAACATGATGCAATTGTAAACCTTTTTTTCTCAGAGGGGAAAGCTTTATGCATACTCGCCCCGGGGGTACGCGGTAGTTATGTGGGATTCTCTTCCGGATGGGAAGCATATCCATTAAACCCCTCTGTTCCTCCTATGCATCAAGGCGAGGCCACGGGCACGCTTGCGTTTTCGTCCGCAACTTCACCTGCATCAGCTGCCGAAGCAGCTCCCACTATAGGGGAGGGCCTACCTTCAACCTCAGGCGCTGGATCCATCCGTATCCAACGCCCTAGGGCGTGCAATTATAACCCTAATAGACTATATTATAGTTAGTGATGACATATATTTTTTGTCACGGACACGGGATTCTCATTAGCTGTACTTGAGGGGCTATCATATCAATGAATACATTCATACAGGCCTATTTCCAAAAGGCAATCTTTTGAAGACTAACCCCCTGAAAAAAGGCATCACGGAACACCGTGACAGGATCTCAAGTACGCTACCTTTTTTATAAAGTCTAAATAATTAAATCTTACTTCTTACTATAATAATAAAAAAATATTCTTTATTAGGCAAAGTAAAAACATTTTTCACAAAATTTTGTGGGCTCCGTCTCTGGAACTAGTTGAAACTGTGTTTCAGGAGACAGTGCCTTCTCTTATCTATTGCCTAAAGTATATTATAAATGAGAATGTTTAGAGAGATAACTTTTGAATTATATTTAATTAATATATGGAATAAAATATTTCTAAATTGAAAATTATCTTGTTGCGAAGTTGCCAAATAGTGCGTACTGTGGCTTGATAATATGACGTATGTTGTCGTCAACCGGTGGCATATCACTGAAATGACGTATTTACGGGACTACACGTCAACCATGCTCACGCTACAGGAAGGATAAAAACCATCAGATCTAGACATTTTAATATATAAATATGGATTTCATTTAACCCGTGCATAGTGCAGCCCAGACTTTCCGTCGGCGCGTGTTCCTAAAGTATTTAATTAATTTTATTATCCAGTTTTATTTATTTATTTAAATAAAATCAATAAAAATGTACTTCGTCAGCATTACTGTTTGGATTTCTTTGGTAAGCTTTTTTTAATTAATTTTAATTAATTTCTCATACTTAAATTAACCGCAATTGCTATCTAAATAAAACTGTGGATTAGTTATTAAGCGTTTAAAATATTTTTTAAAATTAGAGAGTTCCAAGAATTGGAATACAAAAAAACTTTATTGCCACTTTCCTTAGCTTTCTCTTATATTCCCTTTTACTTGTCAGATATCGATTCTTTTGCTTATCTCATTATAGTAATATTATAAATGTGAAAGTTAAGATGAATGGATGGATAGATAGATGGATGTTTGTTAGAATGTATCTCAAGAACGACTGAATGGATCTTGATGAATAATATTCAGTGCTTTCATTTTAAAAGAAATGGACATTTGTCAATATACAAGGAAAATAATAAAAACGAACGAATTTAACACTGGTAAAGCCCTCTTTAACATCTTCGCACGAATTGTCCCGGCTCGCCCGTTGAAATACCACGACCACACAGAAGGCAGGCGTGAAGTGGAAGTATAATAATTCCGCGTTTTGTCTGACGAGTGTGCGTCCCGGCGGCCTAACCCTCTTTCTTATAAGGAAAGGATGGTAAATGGAAGTGGAATTTCCGGATGAGGGGATGCATGGCAAGGGAAAATATTTTCTTCCTGTGCATACCTTCTATCATATCTTCTTCTTAAAAGTAGTCAACGAATATGCAATTGCGTCTTTGGGCAACTTTTGATATAAAAAATATATATTTGTACTTATCTCAATAATTTGTTAACAGGTACACTTACTTGCCAGTGAAGCGATCATACACGCTCTGCATGTCCCCAGAAGGACGAGGAGTATCGGTGATGGTAAGAAACAAATTCCTAAAGAATTTCTATAAAAATTAGTATAACCTCAAAAAAGATAGACACGTGTTTTAACGTGCTAAAAAGTTATTGCTACTTCATCATCTCCCCGTCCTTGTCTTACTTACAAAAGGTCAGAATATGAAAGAGACGATTATATTTTTGTGGGATTGTTCTGGCAAATCATTGTTAAATTAATTATATCATGCGTTCTAATAATGTTACAACTTTCAGATGATAAGACACAGTCATTCAAACCGAATATCCCTCCAGAGTGCGAAGAAATCGGCATTTGCGATAACGTACCGTCGTATCCACATCAGTACGTGTCGCGACTGATCGATCAGGTAAAAAAATAAATATTTAATTTTTAAAAAATAAATATTTCCGACTGACTCTATCTCTGACTCTCCGGAATAATAAGTGAATACCTCGCTTGTCAAAATCAATTCAACCGTTTTGTCTACAAGGGTTCATAATGGATTTTTCTATAGCAAGAGGTGGAAAACTGCTGCTGCCATTTGAATTCGCCAGAATAGCGATGTTAACTTTGCCCTTAGACATTTGCTTGCCATCAATGGATAGAGCAGTGGACGCACAGAAAGAGGTCATTTTCTCTTCCTATGCTGCTCGTCCTTTGCTAGAGCAACCTCCATTTTTCAGCCTACTAATTCAATCAATTTAAAAGAAAACGTTATTCGCTGATTCCAAATTGTTTATTTTATTTCATATTGCTATAACAAGCATTGTTGTATGTAATTAATTTTCAAATTGTCTTTTAGATTACCAAAATCAATCAAACCACATTCAACATGGATATATTAGAGCTCACAGAACGGTTTGGACCAGAAGAAGAAAATTTGGAATTGTGTAGATCAGAACCAACAGTAAGAATAAATTTTCATATATATAATATAAAGAGCTATGGTATCTGGAGTCAGTCAGCGCCAGAGTGAGATATAAAGGGGCGCCTGTAACGCCTTCTACTATCCTATTCGCCTCGCAAAAATCTCGCCCAGGGCGTCGGAAATTCTAAAACTATATAACTATATTTCTATCGTTTTTCAGATTTACACTCCGCAGGCAGCCCGATCTACGAATGGAAGAAAATGGTACTATATTGTGAATAAGAGAAACTATGAGGCCATTCAAACATTTCGAGTTGAAGTTTGCGTGTAAGTAATTCTTTGCTTGATTTATATACAATGCGCTGCCTGTCATAAATAAATACATACGTCAATTGATAAATAACTAGCGCTAATTTAATATATAAAGGAAAGACTTGGTTATTAAAACTCTCAAGTACTAAAACAATTTACTTAGGGTTTTAATAAAATGATTGTTTCATTGCGTTATAAGACAACACTAACAAACTTCATGTTACAACAAAAAAAAACCACAGAAATAATTTTAAATCAAATATATAAACGGTTAAAATACTCACGTTTATTTGTTCGACGTCGGCACCGACTCGTTCTGAGCCCACTAGAGTCCTTCAACAGGGTAGTCTAGGCTCGAAACTAGTCGGTGCCGACTGGACAAAACAGGACAAAGTGATTGTTTAACATATATTAAACATATATTAGTTTATGATATTGTCTCACAAATGTCTGAGTAATTTAATTATTTATATTTACAATCTTATAACAGAATATAAGAGAATATTTTAGGCTCTCTTTAGCATTTGTTAAGTAATATATAAATGATAAAATTTTGTAATAACAGAGATATGATGTAATCGTGTTTATTATTTTTCAGTAATAAAGATGGAAAGTGTAAAGACGTAGCCAGTTTTGCACTTGGCAACCAAGGATATTGCAAACAGAAGTATATACTTCGCAAAATGGTGGCAATAGATTATCGAGGAAATACCTTTGAAGATTATTTCATCATACCCAGCTGTTGTTCATGCGTGTACAGGACCTTGTGAAATTCCAAACTTCCAGTGCCGTGAAGCCCTGAACGAAGTTTAAGAAACAAACCGTACGCTCAATTAAGTCTAATACTGGTAGAGTTTCGGTTGTCTTGTTTAATACTTGACCGACTAATGCGTGAGCCTGAAAATATCTAGAACTAGCTGTCGTCCGCGACTACCTCCGCGCGGTGTTGACTTACTTGACTTGACTTAAAGTCATATGTCGCCGTAGTAGGGCAGAGCGTGTCCGCAGTGCGACTACTGTGTTCGTTTCTTAAATCTATAAAATTCGGGCAAGCAGGTGATTAGCCCACTGTGCCCTAGGCTGTTAGCGGGGCTGCCGCCTTGGAGTTCGCAGCCGAGCTCGGTTATTAAGAAAACATAATTAGTAGACTATGTGTTCTTGCAGAGTATGTTTTATATGTATGCCAAATTACATCGAGATCAGTTCAGCCGTTCTGAAGATACCTTCAAACAAACATCTATTCATCTAAACATTCGCATTTATAATATTAGTAAGATTAATTAGAGGAAAGTTCTCGTAATGTCCGCTCTATTGTATCTCTGTTCTGTTTCTTGTTTATGGCTCTCCCTCAGCGGATTGGGCCAGTGTCAAGGGTTTATGGTTCTGTTTTAACTTGTTAGAGACTGGCAACAATACTCTGCTTGTAGAGGAGTCTTGTGAATAAACAAGTGATCAAAACTTTTGAATTACCTGAAACTGTTGATATTTGTATCTCTATGGATGTAACATTTTTGTTGAAACATATTATTATGGCTATTTTTCAGACTGAAAGTGAGGGATAACAATATAATTTTGATATTTATTATTTGTTAAATTGCATTGAAAATAAAAAAAAAACATTTACTGTACCTGACCTGATGTTTAAAGAGTCCGAGACAAAATACTATTAACCAAAGATTATTAAGAATTATATTAATTAAGTGAATTGCAATGTAATTAAAAAAAAGTCAAATCCAAAACTAAAGTTAAACTTAAGTCATTAAATTATTAGATACATCCTAAATTATGTATTTTAATTTTGTAAATACTATTTGATGTTATGTTATTTTAGCTATAATACTTAATAAATGAATATAAAAAAAATGTTTCGTTTAATTTACATAATTATTAGCGACAAGAAACTATGTTACCACATACTTAAGTTATCTAAATGATAGCTTCGCTAACTTACCGGTGCTTTTCAGCGTCCGGAAAACGATCTAATGAATATTACGTATATGTGAAATAACTTTACTGTGCGACTTTTTTTTATCATAAGATGGCAAACGAGCGACGGGCCACATGAAATCGCTGAAATAGCGAAGTGACCGTTGCCCATAGACATACGCAATTGAATATGCGTCGCCTACCTGCCTGAAATATTTATCCTTTCCATTCATCCTCCCAGCCGGAAAGTCCTCTTCCACTTCCAATCCTTTCCTTATAAGAACAAGGGTGGGAAGGGAAAGATGACTAAATTAGGACTCCGGGACGCACACTAAAATAGACGAAACGCGGAATTGTTTCCTATTTCTCGCCTGTCTTCTGTGTGTTTGTGGTATTTCACCGGGAGAGCCGGGTCAATTCGTGCAAAGATGTTAAAGCGGGCTCTACCATTGTTAAAGGTCTGACTTAGTTTGACATCCACCTTTCAAATGTTTGATGTGTTTGTACAAACAAATATGAACCAAAATTTTAAGGTTCACCGAACACTATTTTTAATCTAAAAATCAACAAATGTTCTAAACATATAAAAAAATATATTAAAGACACATAATAATTCTTAAGTGTCGTTGTATATTATATCGTCACCAAAATCACATAAACAAACATTGATTTATGTTTCTTTGAATACATTTTACTGCAGAATAAACTGACCATGTTACTTAGAACTTCGTCTTACATGTTCATATAAAACTTGTAGTATTCTTTTAGTGTCACAAAAACAGAGACAGGTCTGTGTAAACTGGTCGTCAAGGCTAGACTACGTCACTACGGCTAGTGGCCGCGACCGCGGTCAGTCGTCGTCGAGTCGCCGAGAGTGTTGTGTGTGACGCTCCTGTGGTCCTTTCCCTCGTTCGGACATGGAAATAAAATTACCTAAACAGTGACAATGTACTTATTTAAATATGGTATTTATAATACAATTTGTATAGTGTGAAGTTAATGGACATGTATTATAAACAATAATTAGAAATAATGGCGTGGTTATATAGTTGTGCCATTTGGATAACGCTGGTGAGTTAATAGCTGAGATTAAAACACTAAAAACTGTATAGACGTGTAAACATGACATATTTTTTTTATTCGTTGTATTCGCGAACGGCGTTTGAAAAGTAAAAGTGGCCTGTCACTTTCTTTAATGATTAATGAATGCGTATTATAATGTTGCTAGATATATTCGTGATAATATTTAGCGGCTATCGTTGTCCGTTTCTTTCACCTTGACAAATTGCCATTTAAATTAGCATTAATTGAAAAAATCAGGAATAAAATCTTAGAATTTATGGCATTCGATATACCAATTATAAACCAACAGAATTGTAAAGGAGATTGAAATGGATCGTAATTGGCGACAATACTAATTACACGTTTTGTGTTAAATTGTCTTTCGAACCAGTTTCCATCGAAACACTGGCAACAAAGAAATAATTTTTATTCTTTTGGCGATTATTTGGTTTTAATAAAAATAACTGTTATATGATTTATAACGTAATTTAGAAACGTTTATTTTTATAGTACAACTAACATTTGCTCGCGACTCCGTCCACACGGAAATAAAAAACTTCGCAGTCTATGTGTTCCTTCAGACTATGTTCATTTGTGCCGAATGTCATCGAGATCCATTAAGCCGTCCTGGAGGTCCATCCATCTAAACTTTCGCATTTATAATATTACTTCGATGTGTCTACGTTTTTGTTTAGTTTTCTAAAAACAGTATTACAAAGATTTGTAGTCATAAACAATATTTAAAATATATAATAAAGCTTGCTACTTTTATTTACATACATGCAAATCGCATTTGCATTTAGTAAGTTTGTTAAGGGCATTACTGGCAATAAATAAGGCTGTTTGACACGATGACCTTCAGGGCTGTGGCTTATCAAGACCAAAGGCGTAAGCTACGCTAGTTTGTGTATACTTAGGGAAACCCTTAGTGTTGCATTTACTAACTTCACACTACCTTATTCAGGGTTCTTTAGTGAAAATTAGTAACCTTTAGTGATCGATTACTCTGATGTCGTTCGTTTCCGAGACCAAGTTATCTCTGTTTTGTCGAAGAATAAGGGGGATGACTATATGTTTTATACAGATTATAAGTCTCAGAAACCGGCGATGTGTGATATAAAATGAGTTGATGTTTGTATGAACTGTAATAAACTTGCGTATTATTCAAATAGCATACAGTACTGTGGAAGGACGCAGCAATGATCTGAGATCGACTTATGATGACGACTTATTTCTCTTAATGGGTAACTCATCTAAAATTGATGACCTGCAGATCAGCACACGGTACGTGAATGTGAAGCAGATCACCGGCTCTCAGTACAGCTCATTTTATCTGCATAGAGTAATGCGTATCGAGCTATGAACTGCAAGTCACCAGGCAGCTCGCGGCTCATCGCCTCAGTTACATCGCGTTAATCTGTGAGCTACCAACTTACTAGTTGAACTACAGCACAATAGTTCAAGTCTATATGGCCTGAACTTTTAAACCGGCTCAGAGTTGATTTGAAGCGTATTTTATTCATTGACTATACTCATTGCAAACCACAGATTTATGTTTAATTTCGACAGCATTTTGTTAAAAATAATAAACTACGAGAATATCGATATTATTCTTACATAAATCTTTTGAACCGGATGACTGACTGACTTTGAATGTGTTCAAAACAACGTTCGAATACGATTAAAAGTTGACCTTGTTTTATCACAAAAATAGCATTTAGTTCTCAGTTTCCATTGCCGTAATACCAATACAAAAACGTATCGTCAATCCTTTCATTCCCTTTTATAAATATGTTTTTGTCCAGATTTTTGGCAATAGAGTCGTTGTTAAACTTTTACTTTTATTTTTACCTTGTTTCAATCTACCAATGCGGTAACATCTCTGAATGTGCAGTTTGTCCATGCTAAGAGACTTTTATCGCATAACTAAATAACGTTATAATTCCTTTTTACATTACTACGCTTCTTTATACAACGATTTTCATAAAAAACAACGAAAACATTAAATAAAATACTTTAACCTAAAAATGTAAAAAATACAAGCTATTCGTCTACATCAGTGGTTCCCAAACTTATTTTGTCTACTTTGAGAATAAATATTTTTTAGCGCCCCCATATTAGAGTTTAAGCAATCTTTTAATTCATATTAATTGATGTTCAGAAGTTGTTGTTGAGAGTCGAGAGCTCATGCAGTCGTTGTTTAAGAGGCCTCCTAGCTAAATAAAATTATAAATCACCCCCAGGCCTCTACACAACGCCCCCATTATCTTTCTGGGTCTCTTACCGCCCCCCTTGAGACCCGCAGCGTCCACAAGGAGGCGTTATCGCCCACTTTGGGAAAGACTGGTCTAGATGATTTAAACGAGCCTAAACATAGTCAAGTTCTTACGACCACCTTCCAGTTCCACCACCAGATCAGCATGTTATTATAATATTGCATTGTCACGATTTACACATGTATGCAAAATTTCAACTCAATTAGTCTGCGAAGTGGATCTTTAATTTTCAAGATTTGATGTCAAATATCGGGACAGTTGAAACTAAGTAAAAGACTTATAATAATAAACCATTGCAATTACGTTTTAATGTTTATCTAATTTTGGTATAAGATTAAAACGACATATAACGATTCATCATCAGCTGACTGTACGTCCCCACTGAGGGGCTCGGAGCCTACCCTAAATTAAGGGTGACTAGGCCTAGTTGACTATTCAAAGACGCTGGCCAAATGCGGGTTGGCTGACTTCACACATATCTTTGAATTTCTTCTCAGATATGTGCAGGTTGCATCACGATGTTTTCCTTCACCGTAACAACGTCGGATAAATGTACATATGTAAATCGGAAATCGAAAAACACATTGATACATGGCGGGATTCGAACCCAGGACCTGCAGATTGCAAGTCAAATGCTTGACCCTGAGCCACCGACGCTCTTATGTATAACGACGACGATATAACGCTTATCATTTTTAAATTATTGAACCCGGAAGAACGACAATGTTTTTCGTTCGAGGTTTGTATTCATGACCGGTTGCACATGAAACTTATTTACTAAATGTATCACCGACAATTGACCTAAAATAAAGTACAAGCGTATTATCAAATATAATGAGTTGAGTTGGAATTTACCGCATGGGAAATCTTCAAGACAGACTCATATTTAAGAGTCTATAGACTACATACAATTAGGTCATGATACAAGTGTCATCGTATAAAAAAAAACAATTGCGTCATACCGCACGCATTGCGGGAAAAACAATTACGTATGACTCCGTTTATTAATTAACTTAAATATGTTTCATGAAATTATTTGACATATGTTGATAAGTGATCACTGATAATCACAATTATATTATTTTTATAGAATATGTATCAAGTCCTATTTCGTTTTATATCCTTTTTTCTTATAGACATAAGAGGGGAAGGGAAAGTGGATTTGACGGAGATGGGGATACATAGGAAAGAGATATCTCTGTGCGTCCACTCCTCCGTTGATTGCAGTTCAGCAATTACGGATGTTTATAAATAAGTTTGTTTCGTTATTTTGGCGAATTCAGGTTGCCGCTTGTTCGTTTGTCACCTTATAACATATTAAAAAAAGATACTCGATTCCCTAAACGGAAAGCCTACATAGATTGACTAATTTTATGAGGGTGGTGTGTTTCGATTCCTTTCCGGATTTATTTTATTTAATCCACTGTTGTTGGTTAGTTGAGCTTATTGGTGTGTTCATTTATAAACATTTATTTTCATGAAATCTATATACAACTAGCTGTAGCCCGCGACTTCGTCCGCGCGGTATTAAAAATAGATAGTAGCCGATTCTCAGACCTACTCAATATGCTCACAAAATTTAATGAGAATTGGTCAAGCCGTTTCGGAGGAGTATGGGAACGAAAATTGTGACACGATAATTGTATATATAAGATATTGTTTTCTTTCAGATAAATATATCAGCGCCGAGCCATGAAGCAATGAGGAGGTCGAGAGCTGTGCAGAGAATTGATGGTGGGTATATTTTATACAACAAACCCTGTTCCCGCGGATTCAAAAAAAAATAAAATTAGTAGCCTATGTTCTTCCAGATTGTGTTCTATATAAATGCCATTTCATCAAGATTCGTTGAGCTATTCTGGGGATACCTTCAAATATCCATCCATCCATTCATGTAAACATTCGCGTTTATAATATTACAATGATTATTCATAGGAGTTCTAGGTATGTTTCTCTAAAATCCTAATAAAATATCAGGCTTAACGTGACTAAAACGTATTCTATACTTTATTTACATTTTATCACTTGTACTGTTCTTGGTATTGCACAATTTATTGGATAGTTAGTAATGTATACAATTAAAACCAATTAACATTGTTAGTGTTTATTAGGGTCGGCCATATTTTATCAAGAATGTAATTATATCCATATAGGAACTGGCTAATGAAATAGTTTTTGCGAAACGTTTAATCAAAAGGACAACGTCTGTAGCTCCAATTGCTAATATTTTAGTCGAATTTGTGTATAGTCAAACATATACGACCTCTGTGATAGTCAAAGAGATACTGGCCACCAAGATTATCGTAAAAAAATTGAGGAACTTCCCGAAATTCAGAGGAAATTACAAATGGCATAACACACCTTTTGCCACAATTGGTTTAGTGAATAAGGTAGTACAGTAACTTACGAAAAAGTTGACATAAATATAACCCAACGTACAAAACTAATATACAAATAGTTTAACAAGACTATCTGACACTGAACTAAACTATTTATCATGAAAATATATAAAACCTACATGGGTATAGAAAATGGCATAAAAGAAAAAACGCTAAAGAGATATAGTAAGAGCTAAAGTATAAAAAGGAACTTGAGACAGGTTTTGACATTGATAGGAGGGCGTTAGTGAGCTATCATAGTTCCGAGTTATTCCCACCGAGATATCTTTGTCTGTCTATATTTACATATTCGCGAAATCACCCCCGGATTAAAATACTAAGCTGTGATAGTTTTTTGTTCATACTTTTAGACAACTTTTAGACATTATTAGTCATACCACGTCAAGTGTCAGAATGATTAGTGAGGGGACATAAACGTCGACATTTTGGTAAGGCTAGTGTTGCCGGATTTCTTCCTAACAATACATTGTTACAAAATGTAAACAAAAAATATATGAATTACTCAGTATTCGGAATAGCCAATGTAACTAATGACTGCTGTTATATAACAGTACGTGACTTCCCCGACCATTAGGCAATGATCATTTAAATTATAGTCGAGATAAAACAACGATTTTTGAACACTTTGATAATTTAGAACTGATTGCAAGTCTCGTAAACTGCTTCCTAAAATAGTATATTTGAAAACTTACAAAGCTAATTCTCTAAACCCCAAATGGTTAATAACCTAATTATATTCCCTGTTTACCTTTCAATGTGCATTTTAAATAACCCTCCGATGCAGTATACAGATAGAAATAAAATACACAAACTACTAAAAGTTGATTCTAAGTGTCCAGAAATACAGAAAATACAATAATATTTTTTAATTTAATTTCCAGATTCGGCCAGTGGCATCGTATTCCCAGGGCAGACCTCCTTCAAGCCAAAGATCCCTAAAGATTGTGAAACAGTCGGCATCTGCGATAATATACCAGAATATCCACATGGATACGTATCGCAGTTAGTAGACCGGGTAAGACTTGAGAGATATTTGTTTCATTGTTGTCCTTTATTCATTACCATTCATTGTATCTATGAAACATAACATAGATAATGATAACCTAGTACCGACGTCACACACAAACAAAAAGGGTCAATAGACTTCTGTACATGAAAAATTATCTCTAACATACACGTGTATTTCGGTCTAGGTACCGACTAGTTTCAGACCCGTCGGGCATTTCTACGCCAACGCGAATATAGCTCGTTAATCCACCCTGAAGAAAGACGCCCATGGATCTGAAACTAATCAGTATCTAGACAGAAAAACGCGTGAGTTAAGCCGTCATATTTAATTAGTGTTACGACCCACAAAAGTTTTAATTAGTTAACACTCGTAGCACTTTTAAACGACGCTACTTGGAGTAAGGCAAAGAGTCCGTTATAATATGGTCATATTGGCCATATTTTTTATTTTTCTTGTCTATTTATACTAACCATATTTACAAATTCATCTAAGATTTGTCTTAAACCTTTAATAATGTTTAATTTTGCCGCTATATCATGTCCCTCGTATTGAAATCGTGATGTTTTTTATCTTTTGTCTGTGTTTAAAATGTAAGTCACGCCAATAAATATTTATTGATTATATTTCAGATGTCAGTAGTCAACTTAACCAAATTCAACGTGGATGTCATAGAACCACAGATTGCTCAGAGGATAGGACCGGAGGAAGAAAATCTCGAGTTATGCAGATCAGAGGAATCGGTAAGATATCGAAGTAAATATTTTTAAAAGCAAAATATCACTTAGAAAATATAAATTTTCTTTAATTTCTAACGCCCTAATTATCTGGCGCACACATATTATTGTAATTGTTTTATTTAATAATTATAATCTTTAAAAACCTATTCCTTAACCTTCACAGCTGTATAACCCAAAAGCGGCAAAAGATACCAACGAGCAATGGTATTACATAATTAACAAAGTTAAGGATATACAGCAGACCTTTCGAGTTGATATTTGCCAGTAAGTATATTATTTTCAAACACTACCTTTAAGGAAACGATACCTTATCCCAGTTTTCCTTTATCTTAGTTTCAATCTCAATAGTGTTAATGATATCGTTTAAAAAAGGTGATTTTTTGTTCCAGTCGGCAGAACGTCGCTTGCAAATCGGTAGTTCATTTTGCCCAAGGCTATGAGGGGATGTGCAAACAAAAGTATATCCTTCGCAGTATGGTGGCGCTTGATTACAACGGGGAAGTGATTGAGAAACATTTTCTCGTCCCAAGTTGTTGTTCCTGTATTTATAGAGTGACTGAACTTAAATTATATAGTTAAGAAACTACGTCTGTTGTTTTCTTTGCAAGTGTGTTCCTTGTAATATTTAGTTAGTAAAAACATAACAATAAAATCCCTTACATTTACATAATCTTTAAGGAAAACATGTCAATTTTTATATTCTTTGACGTCAATGTTAAATATGTCACTATTGCAAAGTAAAAATAATGAACTTTCCCAAATAAGATGTGACCTAAAGGTATATGTTACCAGGTCATAAAATTAAAAAATATATGTCACTATTAACTGTCACTGTCAGTGAAGGCGTTGTTGACGTTCGTGATTCGCTTAAAATTTTTATTCAATTTGTCTATTTTCTAACTATTGTTATTTCTTATGAAACAATAAACGTAGGATGCTTATGAACTTGAACAGGAATTACGTATTTACAATATACTTAACCATAATTAGACCCTGTTTAGTTGCGTCACAGGCTAATATGTCTTCGGGAAGTATTGACGCAGGTAATAAGAAAATAAACCTCTTTTTAGCGACAAAACTCCAGTATATCGTAAGAAATCTATAAAATATTGGAACTAAACTTTCTTAGCAATGGGGGAAAGTTTTTTGCGTGCTAATAAACTCTTTTACAGATAAATATTCCGTAGCATATGTAACAGTGCCAAGTACGGATGTTGGAAAAACTATTGGCCATGGATTAGTAAAGAATAAGCTTGCTGCTTGTGTTAATATTGTACCTCAAGTTACCTCTATATATGAATGGAAGGGCGAGATCAATGAAGATAGTGAGGTTAGTCTGTAAAATAACTATTATTTTAAAACAAATTTTTTAGGTCTTATTGTCATAAAACTGTATTTTTTTAAATAAATAATATTAGTTGCTGTAGCCATTTTTACTCTTACTAACATTATAAATACAAATGTTAAATGGATGGAAGTTAAAGAAAAGAAAGAAAAAGAAAAGTTTTTATTATTATAGGTAACAGATTAAACCAAGAAACAATAACTAACATAATAAAATTGCACATAACTAAGAAATTAAATTAGACCTAAGTTACCATTTATGGTTAATTTGGATAATTTAGTGATGCCCACACTAGGCAATGCCTGTATCGTGGGCACCGATATTCAGATAGGTATATAATATTCAGTCCACAAAATTACAAAACCCACACTCACGACACTTTAGCATTTAACAATTCAGTTACTCCGGTATACATATAATAAAAACAAAATTTAAGTTAATGAAAAGAAGAAAAACTTAAGTTAAATATATAATATAAATGTGTATGTACGGCTATATAAATTGATAAGAGATAAATATGTTAAAGGATCTAGGATTGTATCTTCAAAAGATTCTCAGTATCATTATAATTTAAAGTTAGCAGCCACTTCAGTAAGGTAGATTTGGCTTGTGGTAGGGATTTTTCTAACAAGTTTGTTTGAAGGTATCTCCAGAACTCAGATCTCACTGAAATTTGGCATAGATGTAGTCTGGAAGCACACATAGGCTACTAATTAAGTTTTATTTTTTATTCCCGCACAGATGGAGTCGCATGCGACAGCTAGTAATACATAAACATTGTTTCTTTCCAGGCCCTGTTAATGATAAAGACTCGTACATCAATGGTTGACAAGCTGACAGAATATGTTCGCTCCAATCATCCGTATGAAGTTTGTGAAGTCATATCTTTGCCTATAAAAAACGGTAACCCACCATACTTGAAATGGATTGGTGACACAGTACCAGAAAATTAAGATTATTAGTTTTATAGGCTAGGCTTTTCAACAGTAGAAAACAATAGTTTGAAACTTTTATTAATATTGTAAAATTACAAAATTAGCTAGAATTTTTAATTTTGAGCCATATAAGTGCATTTATTGTAAACATTAGTTGTCTTTGGAACAACAATTTCTATTAAATCTAAAAAATCTATATTAAAATCATAATGTTTATAATCATATGGAATAAACATTTTTTTCTTTTTTTTTAATATAGTTAATAAGTTGTAATTTAAAATATGTAAGTTGTATAGTATAAGAGCTTTGCATTTGTTTTAAGAAAAATTAAATATTTTGATGTCGTTAATAATTTTGTTTTATTTTACTACATTGTATTATAATATAAGCTAACATAACACTGTTTTGTTCATCGTAACAATAAGCAATAAAATTGATGGTTGGATGTAAATATCAAGGGCATAAGATGATAAAATGTTTATGACCCTGAAATATTTTTAAATTGTTTGCGTGGCATCATCTATTTATGTTTTATAAAGAGAGATATTGATATTTTATTATTCCACCTTCGACTCTTAAATTCACATAACTGCCGCAAATAATCAAAATCATCGATAAACAATACTGAAAAAGGTCTAAAATTTCGCCACAAATTAGTACTATTTAATCCTTTTGAAGGCTCAAGGACAGTTGCGCTAAGCATCTCTCCCCTGAATCCCTCAATCTAAAATTCTTCTGCGCCACTACTCGTGCGATGTTCCGAGCCAAGCAAATATTTGAATTCCACTATACCTTAGATTATAAAATAGCCGAATCTCAAGTACTAAACTATTGATATTATATTTTTGTAGGAGGTAGATTTTTTTTTTGAACTAATAAAAATTAACAATATTCACAATCGGCCAGTTACATTGTGCAACTTGAAAATAAGAAGAAAAAAGAAACAATGAAGCAATTATCGTTTGAATAAAATTATGTCGCCATTGCTAACGACCCTAATGGACCAATTATTAGTGCCCATTCGCAGTTACAACGGACCGCAACATAAAATGGTTTTTAAATGACTGTCAGATTTCTTAGAGTAATAAAAAAAACATTCTTTGATGTTAATCACACGAAAATTAAAACCTAATGAATATTAACTACGAAACGTAAACAGCGGAACAACACATTTTTCGAATTTAAACTAAGTGTTATTCTCGATCGAAAATTGATTCTTGTGCATACTATCTATACAAATGCTTACTAAATACGTATATAAATAGCTGTTCTCGCGACTTTTTCCCCTTCAAAAACTGTTTTTTGATCTGCGCGATATACTTTTTTTCGTAAAATATATAAGGCCCGATGATAAGTGAGCATCTAAAGGCGTCGTTCTGTATTTTGGTATGCACGTAGATCGTAGATGGATAAATTTGATGTTTCCTTAGTGGTTAATGGTTAGTGTCAAGGTGAACAATCAAAAAAGGATTCAATGTTTACTAAAATTTCTTTATTTCAAAACAGAGTCGATATTTACAATCTTGTTGATAAAATATGTTTTCAGTTAAACAATCTCAAGGTCATAGTTATTAGAAAATACAAAAAATATTCCGAAATCACTTTAATTTGAAATGATGAGTAACCTGTAACATATTAAATTACATTTTATTATTTTACGCCGAATGTACTATAATAATAAATACATCAATTTGACAAAATTATCTATGCACTTAATGATAGTTGGAATAGTCAACGTACGTACATAAAACTAATAAAAAAATCGTAAGAATTACAAAAAGTGGGACACTTACTAATTAAAAACCAGTTCCGATAACGGTTATCAAGAAAATTGAAGCACAAAAGAGACAAAGGAACATCGGAAACAATCCGCGACAGCGCCACTTGCGCGGCCAATCGTAGGGCGTAGACGTCTACGCGGCGACGGAACTCTGTGACGCACGGCGCGCCGCTACGACACGGGATACGTTCACCTCCCAAACCTCCGCATTCCCCAACAAATAATTACAAAGTTCTTGAGCACACGCGATGAAATTTTCGTGCAGCGACAACGCGTCGCTCGCTGAAGGCAGCGGCCCCGCGGATCGCTCGCGATTGTAAACGCCAGTCGGTCGCTTCGTGTCGCGTCGCGAGTGCGATACGCGAACAAAACCTCCGCAGTAATAAGAGCAGTCGTAAACTCGGAATCGGCAATCGAGGGCGTCACTTCGACGGATGTGGTCGACGCTGAATGTTCGTGACGCTCACATTAACTGTGCTATGACAAGAGACCGTTCGCGAGGGCATAGGGAGTGCCGCTGACACCTGACGTGCGACTGTGACCAGTGCGCTGCACGCACCGATGGAACATTGCGCCCGCTCTGGGAACTTCTGCATTGCCAGCTTGGGTTCGTCGTTGTGCAGATTCTGATGGTGATCGGCCCGGAGGCTGGTCGCTGAGGGTCGAGGGTCACGTCGGGCGCGGGACGGCGAGGCGCGCAGGCGGGGCGGGATGTGGCCGCGGTAGCGTCGCGCAGACGCGGATCGATCGCCGGCGCTTGGCAGCGCGGCATCGAGCGGCAGCGAGCGGCCACGGGCAGCGGAGCGGCGGCGGGCGGCGGGCGGTGGAGCGCGCGTGCACTCGCCCTGCCGGAGGTGGCGGCAGTCGCACGCGGGCCGGCGTGCGAGCGCGCGCGTCGCACGTGCATGGCGCGCTTGTCTGGATGCCTCGCGCCCACGGGGAATGGCTTCGTCCGAAGAAGAGGTGACAACTGCGTCGTCCAGTCCTGAAGATGACTGCCTCAGCGTGCGGAAATGGTGGTGCTTCTTGCTGTCGTCGATCATCACATTCATCACGGGGCTGCTCATCGTGGGGGTATGGCGGTGCTGCGCGTACGCGTGCTGCCGCAAAGAGCCGGAGCTGGCGCCCAACGACCCCAAGCAGAAGGAGCAGAAGGCGGCGCGCCAGGGCAAGCAGGAGTTTGAGGGCACGTTCATGACCGAGGCGAAAGACTGGGCCGGCGAGCTCATCTCCGGCCAGACCACCACCGGTCGCATACTGGTATGTCTCACTCACTCACTATTTTACCATCAATGTCGCTGTTGCTACGATCGCGCTGATGCTGCCTCCAACTGTACTAAAATTCAGATGCAAAGTAATTGATGTAAATTGTAAACGCCTATTAGGTTGTGAATATAATAACAATTTAATATAATGGTACCGAAAAATGTACATTCAGGTTAACTTGTTTATATAGTCGACGTTTAGCTGTTAGTTAATTTATTGATTTAATCGTAAGAAATGTTTTACAACCTCAACGAAAACTTGGAAAGCAATTACAAATCAGGTGTAATGGCGATCGGCCACTTATTCCGTCTAGCTATTCGGCTCCCATAAGAAAATAATAGTTTAAAAGCTTTAATGCTCAATGTTGCGGCCGGGTTAGGTTTACGAGCTATGCTATTATTAATGTGACGTATTATATCGATGATAAAGCAGCTCTCATTAATGATGCATAATACATCGATTTTGTTCCTAGAACTGTACAAGTCAAGGGGTTAAATGCAATGATTTTTAATCTACAATTATTCCTGTATTTCATTTATAGATAAAAGAAGATCACATACGATTATAAAATACGAACAAATATTACATTCTTTCATATTTTCAATACGAAAAATTACTAAAGATATTAAAAAACGTAATTTACGAAGATATAAAAAGCCGTGAGAACTTTTCGTTTTCGACCGCTTTTTCCTTTTGTTCTATCTACAAAGATTTGTCATATGTACTCAAAGCGTTATGTAACAATGTAATTGTCTATTTTCTAGACCGGTTAACAAAAAATACATTTTTGTGGTACCACTAAACAAAACATTACTGAATATCGATTGATTTTATTTTACGATCTACCTTCAATTAATTTTGAATATTGCATATTTATTTCCCAATGCAAGACTTTTATGTAAAAGGGGATTACGGGGTCGTGTAACTAACATTTATATATTGCATTTGGTATATAAGCTAGTTTAGGTTACTGTATATAAGAACACTAGCTGCCGGCCGCGACTCCGTCCGCGAGAAATAAATAAACTTTATTATTAGCTTGTGTGTTCTTCCAGACTAAGTTCTACATATATGCTAAATTCTTCGAGATTCTTTGAGCTGTTCTGCAGATACCTTTTAACAAACATCCATCCATCCAAACCATAACATTATACCATAAACATATATTATACAACCATAATCCATAATGAAAATTATAGTCAAAGGCAACTAAATAAGGGATCCATTAATCTTATTATCTAACATTGTTACATCTGTTTACTTGTTTAAGAACATTGGAATCTCATACAACACTAAGGGATGACTTAAGTTAGCATTTAACGATTGATTGACAGATATCAGAGATTAATTAATTATCTCTTCTACTATGAAAAAGGCATTTTCCTCAACATTTGGTTGGTTCGTTCATCATATTGTCAATATGATTGATGTGGTGGAAGCTAGTTTTTTTTTTCATAAATGGCTACACGTGCCAGATGCAAGTGATTGATAAAGGACCGTATTGTATAGAATCTTGTTTTGATTTTATAGTAAAAACTTTTTTGTTAAAAGCTCTTCACATTGTATCTTAAAATTTTTTAATTGCGATTAAACATGGCCATAGTCAAGCGCTTATTTTTTTTTTAAATACTAACTGTCGCCTGCGACTCTGTGTTCTTTCGGACTTTGTTCTAATTTTTAAGCGAGATCCAAGATACCTTCAAATAAACATCCATCCATATAAACATATGCATTTATAATATTAATAAGAAGTAAGAAGAAGATTTTTGTTAATTTACTAATGTTTTTGTACCATTTCATATAAACTCTGGAGTCTGTTTTAAGATATTTGTCGAATGGCTGGATTCGAACTCTTGACAACCTAATCCATACTCTTAACTATTGCTGCTTTAAATTAACCTATTAAAATTGTAATAATTAGACAAGTTCACCAATTTTTTAACGAATCTCTTAAGATTACACATTTTAAACATTTTAAATTTATACTAGCTGTCGCCCGCGACTCCGTCCGCGCGGGATAAAAAATAGATATTGGCCGATTCTCAGACCTACTCAATATGGTCACAAAATTTCATGAGAATCGGTCAAGCCGTTTCGGAGGAGTATGGGAACGAGAATTTTATATATAACATATTTTTTAATTTGATGAATGATTAAAAAAATTAGGTCTAGAACAAGTTATGAAAATTGACTGGCATAGTACCTTTATCAGTGACAATTATCACGGCAATCCGTTTAAATATTTTCCGATACAAAGTTTTTGTTTTACTTATTAATATAATGTTTACACATCCCTAAGGACAATTCTTTAATATGTTATTCGAGTCATTGAATGTAATAAACGTAACATTTTGATAGTCGGGTCATTTTAAAGTTGAGCTAATATTTATTCTTCATATCATTACCTTATGTTTATTCTATATAATCTGACTTCTTACTAATATTATAAATGCGAATGTATAGATGGATGGATATTTGTCATAAGTTGTAATATATCTAGAACGGCTGAACGGATCTCAATGAAATTTGGCATACATATAGAACATAGTCTGGAAGAACACATAGGCTACTAACCATTTTTTTTAATTCAGAGCCGACGGAATCGCGGGCAACAGTTAGTATTTAAAATATTAACTATGCGTATTAATTACGTGATGTTGATTTAATTTAAAACAAACACAGTACTTACATAAATAAACGTTGTAAAGGCAAACCGCTAACGGTGGTCAAACAACTACTTAAGCCAAACAAGCAAACTAGATTAATGTTCAGCCGCACCTAACATTACGCGGTGGTCACCCACTGGGGTTACCAACCCTAAATAAATTAAATTATTTTTGTATTAAAACAATTTTATATTAAAGCCTATAATTAATTTAAAAAAAATCATTATGCCGATGACAACGTCTTAATGGCACGGACCTTTATCAGCCAGAGTAAAATTAAAAATATAAAAATTGGCTACAAATTATAAAGGAATACATTAACCCAAAAGTCAGACCAAAAATAACTTAGTAGTAATCGGTAGGATGCAATGGTTATGTGTTTGTCCGGGCACCTGGTAACATCGCGCAGCCCTGGGCGCACGTGACACGGTGGCAACCCTGACCCAGTTGCGCTATCGATGCGCCGCAGCCCTCCCCCCCCAGTTCAAGTACGCCGCTTTCGCCTCCCATTGATTCATTTCTCAGGATTCTATGGCTACCGTGACGTAAATAATGAAAGCGAAAAATAATATGCTATATAATTATTGTTCAAGAAGTTATAAAAGTCTGATGAAAAACATGAATTCATCTCGATAATTAGTCCAAAAAACATCAAGGTAGAGCCTTTTTCTAAGACTGTCGACGCAGTATGCGCTACTCCTCCATACAACTTTAATATAATTATAAGAGTACTTATAAGACATGTAAACAAGTAAATTACTATTTTTTTATTCTTAATAAAACTCCAATTATTTAATACTAGCTATCACCCGCGGCACCGTCTGCGCGGGATGAAAAAACCTTCATTAATAGTCTATGTGTTTTTCCAGACTATGTTCTACATCTATGCCAAACTTCATCGAAAGCTGAACACGTTTTGAAGATACCTTCTTGCAAACACCCATCCATACAAAGTTAGCTTCTAAATTATTAACATTTGCCAATTATAAACATAAAACAATAAATATATCTACAAAATATGATTTTATCTGAAAATGTTATAAGAAATCTCAAATCGTAGACATTTCATGTACCCTTCGGGACCTTACGCAAGTTTAATCAAAAGAAAGGCTGACATATACGCAATAACGAAAAAATATATTTTCCCCTACACCGAATATATGTGATATGTGAATTTTATATGTACAAGGTTACATTGTTTGAACATATATGTTTTGTTTTACTATCATATAGACTAACATACTGTTGCCTGCGACTTTCCCGCGTGGAGTTAAAAAAAATAATGAGTAGACTATGTGTTCTTCCAGACTATGTTTTACATCTGTTCAGATATCCTTTGGGTCCGAAGATACCTTCAAACAAACATACATCCATACATCTAAACGCATTTATAATAGTGAGTTTAAAAATATATATAAAAATCGATAGTAAACATTACAACGATGTTGTTTTTAGATTATTTTTCTTAGTATTTCGTTTTAAATAGCTTTTGGATTAGTCTTCCTGTAATAATGCTGTCTCAATCCGTGACGTCATATGGAACGGGGTCATAACGATTGATCATAAATGACGTCATAACCTCACGACCTCACGTCTTTCTTTGATAAAATAACCACTTATTATTATATTTTAGCTGTTTTAAATTAAATTTGACTAAATAAAATAATCGAAACGAAATCAATAGTATTTTTTTTAATTACAATTCTGACATTTTCTGATTGTAAAAAAAGATAAAGTCGATTATTTCCTGTCTAACATTGGACTATAATTTGAAAATAAAAATAAAACCAAAATTTTAATTTAATTTGCCTTGTACTAAAATTACCAATAATCATAGAAGATCTACACCAATACTCAATACACCTTTTTAAGTTACTTAATATCTATATGTTTTTCTCGTTAAAAAAAAACCTTTTTAGCAAAGCACTTCTAGGCAATTAAAGTTGAGTTCACTAATCAAAAGGAATCGGACTTTAATAAAATACATATAAATATATGTCGAGTCTCTAGACTATGCCTATCGCTTGTCAAACAATCACGCGTACTACTGACAGATACAGTGACACTGACAGACGTCAATCACACACCATACAAGCGATGTTGCCATTCGAATGAAATAATTAACGACATAAATTGATATTCTCCGACATATACATCGTTCGCAATCGTTAAAATGTCATCATCAGCTCACTATACGTCCCCACCGAGGGGCTCGGAGCCTACCCTAAGTTAAGGGTGATTAGGCCATAGTCAACCACGCTGGCCAAGTGCGGGTTGGTTGACTTCACACATATCTTTGAATTACTTCTCAGATATGTGCAGGTTGCA